GCTACCGAAGCGGGGGTGCCATCCCCTCTGCAGAGGATCAAAATTGTGATGGCATGTCTTCGGATCATCCTTAGGGATCCGAATCCTTAGGGGGGAAAAAATTACAGGGAAAACCTTTTTTTTTTTTTTTTTTTTGTTGCTCATTTTCATTTATCACATCCAATAAAATTTAATGCCCACTACTTATATCTAGAGTGCCTTAGTTATATTTAGATAGACCAATCAAAAAACTATTGCTTTTTAATAAACCTACAGGCAGTATTTATTTACTTTTGAAAAGCATTTCATAATTTTATAGTTAATTTATTATTTTAATGATTTTTTAAAATAAAATAAACAGCAAAATATTATAAAAATTTAACTAATCACAAAAATAACTATCCTTAATATCAAGGAGGACTCGCAAAGAAAGTTTCATTCATTAAACTAATAATAAAATTCGTTGAGCTCTGTTTTCAACTTACAAAACTTCGGACAATAAAATGAAAGATTTTTTTTTAATTATTATTCAGTTTCTAATCATTCTCTTGTATGCATAAGGAAATATTTTCCAATAAAAAAAAGGTAGTTTCCGATAATTAACTCTCTAAATATAATAGAACCTTATGTCGAAAGATATAGATCGAATCCAGTAGCGAAATAATTCCGATAGAACTGTAAAAGAGTCAAGAGCGACACCATTTTATATTTTTAGAAATTATGTTACAGAAAAATTTTTCCCTTAAAATTATACATTCTTAATTAACCGAAAAAATTCCAATTTTTCCAACTTAAAATCAATTTTTTTTAATTCAAATTAGCATTATATTGTATAGTTTTTAATTTCTTGTAATTGGATACCTACAAGCCACGTCATCGTGTGTAAATCGCGTCATTAGTTTATGCTACGATTCAGAAACCAATCAGGCTCGATACACACGAAAGCTGATTCAGNAAATTCCAATTTTTCCAACTTAAAATCAATTTTTTTTAATTCAAATTAGCATTATATTGTATAGTTTTTAATTTCTTGTAATTGGATACCTACAAGCCACGTCATCGTGTGTAAATCGCGTCATTAGTTTATGCTACGATTCAAAAGCCAATCAGGCTCGATACACACGAAGCTGATTCAGCGTGTTAATGAACTAAGCCTAATTGCTGTAACTTTAATCCGCCAAGCAAAACCACGTGATTAGGCCCTATCATGTATTTTATATCACATGGTCGGGCCTAATAATCACGTATTCGAATAGGGCGCTAGCAATTCGAGCAGAAGTGAAGTGATTATGCTGAACAGTATGGTTTAAATCAAATTTAATTTGGTACCTGTAAGCGACGTCACGCGTGTGTGTCGAACCTGATTGGTTTCTGAATTGACAAATGCCACTATTTAACTACGATGGCGTCACTTGTCTTGCAGGCATCTAATACAACATGAATAAGCAAAACAATAAAATTCTTAAATTCTCTCTTAGAGAAAAAAGGTAAAACAACAAAATTTTACGTACAAATCAGTAAACATTTATTTAGAAAAAAAAAAGCGAAAAAATATTCAGAATCAATTCATTTTCAAATACTTGTAGCTTTAAATATTTCCCGTTTCAGAAGAGAACAATTTTTTTTTTCATTAAACCAATTAATATTTTAAAATTTTATTAAACTCATTTTCATTAAAAAATAATAACATACATAAAAACAATAATATTTAAATTTCGTTGCATTATGCATGTACATTATAAAAAAAATTATAAGTTATTTGAAAAAATTAGGTTCGTAAACAAATTTAAAATTAATATAGTTGAGACTGTATATAAGTAAAGGAACAGAAGGGAAAACATTTTTGAGTATTTTAATTAAATTTTATGAATGAGCATGAAACTGATTCACACATAAAAACATCTAACATAACTACTAAACTCATTTTGAGAAAAATAAAAAATAAATAATTAAATATTGCACAAAGTTTTTGCTTCGAAAATAAAATTTAATTCTAGAATTAAATCAGTTGATGTTTCTCGAATAAAAATTCTTATAATTAGGTAAAAAAAATTATTTTTGTGCTATTAATTTCAAAGGAAAGGAAAAAAAATATTCAATGAAAATAAATCCATAAATTCGAAAATTTTAATTCTTAATTTCTGTTGGAATGATTCAAACATATATTTTAATTTAAATAACTGCAATAACCTAAATTAGAAATTACATTTTTATGACCAAAATAAAAATTTAATTGAAAAACATTTTTTTAATGAAAATAAAACCATAAATTTCAAGTCATTAGAAATCTCGATTTCAATTTAAATCTTTTAATTGCTAGAAATAATATTTTTTTTAAAATTCTTTTAAATTATTTCTATTTATTTAAATATAGGTAACATATTTGAAAAATATATTTCTTGTAAAAATAATCACATATTGCAAAACCTTTACCAAGTATTATCAATCTACTTTTAATTCATCAATCTACTTTATCTTGTAATGCCTATCTTGTAATGCCTTGTAATTGAAAGGTTTCAAGAATACATTTTAAATAATGAACAAACTGTGTAGCATTTAAGCATTATGGGTTTTTTTCCCCTCGAGATTCTATAATGCTTAATTTCATTATTTAAAAATGACAACTGTTACCAGAGAATTCACACATTTTGTCGTCATTATTAAAGCAGATTAAAAACTTTGCAAACAGAAAAATTAATTTTATTATTTTTTACAGTATATAACTTGTTTACACCTTCAATATTTAAATAAATCTTTAAATTACGTTTGTCTCGAACATGTTTTGGTTAAAGGAAACTTTCTATTAACAAAACATACTAAAAAATAAAATTTTCATAAGTCAAAATGTATATTGATTAAAACCAACAATCGAATACATATTGGAATTGTTTCTTCCAAGTTTAAAAAATAATAAATTTCATTTAACTAATAAACTTTAGAATTTTAATTTTATAATATGGTTCGTTTATTTTTTTTTCTTTCTGAAGTTTAATGAAACTTATTTCATTTGTCTCATACAATCAAATCCCAGATATTTTAGAATTTTAATTGTTTAATATAGGGTTTTTTTTTTAAAGGTTCTTATAATTTTTTTTAATTAGACAAATACAGTTTGGAATTTTAATTTATAGTGTGGATGATTTTTTCAAGGTTGGTAGAAATTAATTTAATTTGACCTCTATAATTAAGTAATCTAACTTATACACTTAGGAATTTTAATCTTGTAATTTAGGTTTTTTCTTTAAATGTTTGCTGAAATATATTTTATTTGACCTATACAATCAAATCATTTGACCTTTACATTTTGGAATTTTAATGTCATAATTAAGATGGGGGGTTTTTTTTCAAAGTTTTTTAAAATTTATTTGAAAAGAAGTTAAAAAACCTTCCTATAATAACTATGTAGGATTTTTTTCCAATTAATTTTTGGTGGAAAGCACAAGTATGAATGGGCACACTAGGCGTGTTCTGCAATACATAGCTGGTGAAGCACGTTCCGAATCTTTTCAACAACGTTTCAACAACTTTCCACAATGTAACATTCGTTTATATTAAACATTTGTTGCACTGAGGACTTTTTGCAAAAGTCAGTTCTAAGTTTTTATGAAAAATTCATTATTCTTTATTTGACTTAAGCAAAAAATATTCCATTCATAATTTTCAGAAACTTAGGAACCATTCCCACCGCATCAGTCGAACCTATCACATTCTTAATCCCCAAATACATATTTCAAATGAATTATCCATTCAAAGAAAAAAGAACAATAAAGAAACACAGTTTGCATTTTGTCAAACAATATTCTCTATTAGAAATAAAGCATATATTACTCTATTTAACGCATTATCGATTATTTAGTTTAAAGAGTACAAAAGGTATCCTTACTCTCTGGAGGGTAAACTAAATGAAATTTTTAAAACTATTTAACAGACTTATAGTATAATAAACACGAACGCAGTTCATGGAAAATTTGCCACCATCGCGAAAAGTTTTTACTATTACTAATTAAGAAAAATAAATCCGCCTCTTCAAAGAAAGTTTGTCTTTTTCAAATTCAAGAGAAAAGAAGAAAAAAAAAGAAAGATTCCTTTTCTAGCCCTTTTCTACCAATGCAAATGCGATTTAAAATTGCATTCATATAATTTAAAATCACACATTGCGATTCCTATTTCCGCGATTTTAAATCGTCCATCGTGTTCCGTATTTTCACGATTTTATATCAAATATCGCGTTTCATATTCACACAATTTAAAAGCCTCTATTATGATTCTTGTGCGAGTGACTTAAAAATTATACATCGGAATTCACATTCACGTGATTTTAAAATAAAACATCAAGACTTGTAGTCACGCGATTTCAAGATCAAACATAAAGATTTATTCGTATTCATGCAATTTTAAAATCAAACATTGAGATTCATACTCAGGCGATTTTAAAATCAAAAATCGTGATTCGTATTAAAGCAATATATTAAATTAAATATCGAGATTCATATTTGCAAGATTTAAAAATCACGTTGTGATTCAAATTCACACAATTTAAACAAATAAATACAATTTTTATTAAAACGTTGATTAACATTCTGTGGATAAATGCTTCCTACATACACTTTTCCCATGCTCAAATTTCAGGCATTTTTTCAATTATTTAAAAAGTGCTTTTTGCACATAACATTTTTGGATTTCTATTCTCAGCTTTTATGGTTTTCAGCAAACTCATCCCTGTGATATGAATCAATATAGAATTCTATAAAAATTAAACATTTTTTAAAAAAATCCATGATTTTCTAACTAATTTCTTCCAAATGAGTTGACAATGAAAGTATTAAAACTAGTTACAAGAGTTAATCAATGTCTTCAGAAATTTTTTTTATTGAGATATTGTGTTCGCAGAAAGTTTTTGTTTTATCTAAGTCTGCTCTTTACATATGGCAACTGTTTCAATAGTTAAAGCATGGTTAACTAACTCTGCGTCACGAAACTGATCTATTTGTTCAAAGTAAACGTCTCTGTGTGACAACAAATAAGCAAAACATAAATAGTTTTATTTTTAAATAACATAATTATAAACTTATTACATTTAATAACATTTAATATTAAATTCATTTTAATCGAGAAACTTTAATAGGACATGTTGCTTGCACTGTGAGGAAAAATGGCCCTCTCTGACCTGGTGAAAAAGTGCTCGGAATGATATTATATATTCCAGAAGGTACATTCCTAATTTCTAAAATGGAAAATCCAGACCTAGAAAACAAAATAACTTACTTGAAATTTGAATAATTTAATATGTGATACAATTACATTTAAAAGCATTTAAATAAACTATAAATAAATCTTATCATTAAAAAATATAAGATCTAAATTATTTAAACAAAGAATTGCTTCCTAATAGCAATATTTAAAATTATTATAAGCTTGATTTAATAATAATGATGACTCATTTTCATAAATAAGATTTTGGTGATCAAGCACTAAAAAAGTAGAATCAAAGGTAACTTTACCTTTTCAGTTATTTTGTACTACAAACTAATTTATACCGAAAGTTTTTAATTTGGGACATACATAATCAAGAGCTAACTGAGCCTAAATCGCAAATATATCTGACAATTAAAGTATGGATTTTCCATACTTTAATTATGATGCGAAATTAAAACACACAAAATTTGTGTTTAAAAAAGAAATTGCTTTGTAATTTAACATCTTAAATAATTTAAAATTTGATTTCATTAAGTAACAGTTCAATAAATATGAAAAATATTTGGTTCAGCAGTGATTTTTTTTCTTTTTAATTTCTCTAAATAAATTATTAAACTTCTTGCTTTAGAGAACAAATCATTAATCCTAGACAATTATGCCTCATAGGTAACTGAAGATTAATTTTTTTTCATTGTAAAATCTTTAGAAATAAAAATAAAATGTGTAATTGCAATAAAATTAAAAATGCATATGTTGAATATTTAAAAGCTAAATTACTTTATAATATCAAAATATCATTTTCAACCAATAAATTTGAGTGAAATGTTGGTAACAGATGAATAAATGGTGAAAGTGACTGAATAGTCAACTATTTCAGAATAGTATAATTTTTTATCATTTGAAATTTGTCTTGAATAAAGTAACAGGAGATATATGCATGGTCTTAAGTATAGCAAGGAAAATTTTGCCTATCGCTAAATAACAATTTTTTAAAAATATTAAAGTGATTGAATAGTCAAGAAACAATTATTAAATTCTACGTAAGGGCTGAGATGGTTAGAAAATCATTTAATGCTAGGAGCTATTTTAAACCAAAAATTAATTTCACTAATAATTACAATTTAAAACTAGCTGTACATTAATTTCCTTAATTATTAAATAGTAACATTATATAATCATTCTTTGAATTGCTATTCTGTGCCTAATAAGTTAAAATATGCCAATTATGTCTTATTTCATTGACACCGAAGATGTTTCAAATTTTAAATTCATGAAAACTAATTCAATTTATAGTAGGTAATAATTTTTATTTTGTTTAAAATATGTTTCTGCATGGAAAAAAACATTAAGCAGTTATAAAAATAAAAATTCCACTTAAAATTTATAAATCAGAAACTGCATGATCATTATGTTAATATAGTTAAAAAAAGTAGTTGGTTGTCAAAATTATATAAATCTGCTAATAAATAATTAAGCATTTTAGCTACCATAACAAATTTAAAATTTAAACAATGCACATTGGATAAACAATATTCAATACACACAGTTTTCAAAATAAACTGATACCAGCTGAAAGAAAGAGCTGATTTCCACATTTCAGTCAGTAATGCATAAAATAAATTAATAAGACAAACAAAAAACTTTTAGATCGTATGCATGCAATTAAAAAATATAAGAATAATAAATTAATCAAAATAGAGCCAATCACTGGTCTAGTCGTTGCTGTACTGGACCTGTTCTATGTTCTCGCTGTGTTCAATGTCCTTTCTTCTGTGTGATTGCAACCCGCCCTATAAATGGGTTTGTGGTTGCATGATGTGGGCGATGCTACTCCTCTCTACAGGTGCCCACTGGGAGACGATAAGAAAGTAGCAATTCTGGCATATCTAAGACCAATGGGAAATAGACACATGTGCCCACTGGGAGACTATAAGAGAGTAGCAATTCTGGCATTTCTGAGGCCAATGGGAAATAGACACATGTGCCCACTGGAAGACGGTAAGAAAGTAGCAATTCTGGCGTTTCTAAGGCCAATGGGAAATAGACACATGTGCCCACTGGGAGACTATAAGAGAGTAGAAATTCTTGCATTTCTGAGGTGGCAAATAGACACATGTGCCCAATGGGAGACGATAAGAAAGTAGCAATTCTGGCATTTCTAAGGCCAATGGGAAATAGACACATAGCCACATTAAAAATAATTAATCAAAATGGAACTTAAAGTATAGTTTTTGGTAAACTGTTACTATTACTGTATTAATTCACAAAACATTTTAACAAAACGAAATAAATGGAACTAAACTATTTTTTTAAAAAACACATTAGGATTTCAATAGTTAATTAATTAATATATTTGTAGGTAACTATTTAACATATTTAATATTTATAAAACCATGAATAATAATTTATGAATTAATTTATTAGCATCATCAGGACATAGCATAAAATTAGTGCATGCATATGATTGTGGTAACAATAAGTTAATAAAATGAAAAACAGACAAGAAATCTGATACCTATAAGCTCCAGAAGTTTTTCTTGAGAAATAATGAGGAGAATTAGTATTATTTACACTAACAGTAACAACTTCAAAACCAACATGGTATTGCCTACAAATAAAAACAAATAGATGTAAATAAATTTTACAATTCAATTTCACTCAGAGGAGGATTATTTTAAAATCAAGTATAGACAATATCGGCGGAAAAAATTTTTTTACAATTCAATTATTATAATTCAGTTTTAATAATGATTTCTTCACAAATAATAATTGAATGATTATAATTTTTTAAAACTATTGTAAATAATTACAATTATTAACAGATAAATAAATATAAAAACATTCAAAGCTAAGTAAAGAATCAAACATCAGAGAGAAAAATATTAGAAATATGATTTTTTTTTCAGTTGAAAAACCAAATTGCTCATTTACTAAACTTTGATTAGACAGACCCTCGTGTATACTTTTGAAATATGGGCACTGACTGAGAAAGACAAATGGGACTTGCGATATTTGAAAGAATTTTAATAAGCCTATATTTTAGGATAAAATGTAAAAATTATTTTATAGGAAAAAAGTATTAACTTGGAAGTTCACAAATTTTATAGGGAACCAAATATTACTAAACTTATAGCAAGTCAGATTATTAAACGAATAGGGCACCTAATAAGATTGGATCATATTCAAACCATTAAAAGAAATATTTTTGGTTAAAGCTATTTAGCATCAAGCCTAAGTTTTAAGCTCAATATTTTCATTTCAATTTTATAACTCAGAATATTGTTCAATTTTTATACAATAAAGACTATTCCCTTCACTTTTAATGAAAATTGATAAATCTGACGCAAACTGTGAATAATAGTAATAATCAAATAATAGTAATAATGATAGGTCTAGTTCTCACTAATTGAGACTGATACCAAATTTTATTAACTATGGTAATTGTTACTAAGTTTATCTTTTATCTTTATGTTACTCAATCCATTATGCCATAACTCTGATGAATAAAAAGTGCTTTACCTTTATTTTACTTAATACGATATAGAAAGCAAGCTTTAGATAAGAAATACGAGTTTTTTATTGCAATTACTATCACCCCTCTTCTTTTTATAATTAAAACTTTTAAATATCTTAATCAATGTTAGTTAATATATAGAATAAGTAGAATTATAGACAAAGAAAAAATACTCGATAAAAAAAATTCAGACTGTCTGCGGATCTTTAGAATATTTCAGCAAAACATTATTCCCAAAATATTGCAAAAAGCAGACATACTAAGTTAGATAACATTCAAGCAAAAAAAAAGTATAAAGTTCATAATATTTTACAAATATACAGACAGTAAAACCCTGATCATCTGACTGATACACTCTGTTTCCAAAATCTATCTTTACTTCTATTAAAATATATGTCGAGAAATAGTCTATAACTTAATTCTCAAGATATATTCAAATTATCTTGTGATTCTTTGTAATCAAAAGTAACACAAGTTGCATACAATTTATAAATTATAGTTAACAAGCAAATTAAATGCATGATTCTAAAATAAAATCAATATGACTCTAGAAATGAGCTTTAATAATTACTTGATTTATAATATTTTAACTACGAAGATTAATATGCGATTTAAGAATCATGCAAATTACAATATGCTGTTTTTAAATTTTATAAAAATTATAAAGATTTTTTCATTTAGATGTCAACAAGCAATCAGTGCAGCTCAAAGCTGCTATGAATTCACGTTGCAATATGGCATCAGATAGCAATTAAATCTTTAAAACACCGTCATTTTTGTTACTTAATAAACCTATGAAATATTCTGAATTTTTGTTGTCTTTTGAAAAAAGGCTATATAGCCAGAGTCATTTTATTTTATTTTAGATTTCTGCTTTCCGTAAACTTTTGTTTATAGTAAATTTCCATTTTTAACCATTTTACTGATATTTTAATGTTTATCTACTTAAGATAAACGAAATAAAGCACTCTTGAGTATTTAACAATATAAATTCTATAATGCATTTCCGGTACCATGTGCCTTGGATAATCTGATGTTTAATGTACATTCATTTTAACAACTCTAAACAAGTAAATGTGAGTTAGACCTATTTAGAAAAATGTGTAATATTCAAAATTCAAAAAAAATAATAATGAAATAAAAATTAAGAAAATTACAATTTGAATTAATATAGTTCATGCTGTTGTCAATTTACTTTACACACAATAATTGATATAAATAATGATGAAACAAGAACTAAAATAGATTATTCTTACTTGGGACCCTTTAAGTCGATTAATAAAGTGCTTTCATCAGAAGACGATTGCAAAGAGACTTGATAAATAGGATTGTTATGATAAGTTGATGGATTATTAGGACAACCACCACTCAGCTCTTTAGTCCACTCACCATTCTTTATCTAAAAATAAAACATTGCATGAATATAATTTCTTTAAAACAAAATAAAAATAGATAAAAACACTCTTACTTAGCACATCAAAAACAAATACAATCATTTTCAATCTTTTTAACTATCGTACATTGACATTTACAACATATATCAACTGTTTTAATCACACGCGAAGAAAATTAGTTTATTATGCTGAATAACAAAATTTACTTTGCATAATGGTTATTTTTTCGGAGCACAACAAGAACTCACTCCAATTAATTATAATATCCTCATTAACACTGCTCATTATTCCCAAATAAAGCTGAGAAACCTAGATAAAAAGATTAATAAATATGGAAATAAAATTAAATTAATTATGCCAATTTATTAACTCTGATAACCAGAGAAATATTTCGTCAATTTAAACATACAATTTAGTATACATACTTCCTCAATACCACTTATGATTAAACTAAACTTTTTGACAACTGCTGAGAAAGAATATACACCATTATGAAAAATAAATATGAGTACAAAATCAAATGTCCATTTACTGGAAGCGTCTATTTTAGACGTTTTTTAACAATAAAATTAAACAAAACTGCTTTCCTTTTTCAAAAAAAAAGAAGAAATTTCTTCTTTTTTTTTTAGCTGGTTATCTGCTAAAAAAAGTAATAGCAAAGAAAATTATTATTGCTGCTACCCAGATAGCTAAACATTTGTTCTGCCTCAATAAGCACACTAAAAGAATTTTAAAAAATATAAAAGCAGTTAAGGAAAAATAAACTTCGGGGATAAGAATAAACTATGAATATTAGTGAAGCTGAATATTGATAATGTTTGAAAAGTGCACCACAGACAAGCGTTGTTTTGCTTTAAATTATAGATGTTTTTATTAACAATCTACTAAATTCTATTCCCTGTTTTAGGTAATATTTTTTATTGAATCAGACTAATTTACTTTTGGATTAGGAGATGCTTTTATTAATGATAATTTTATATTTTCATGTCAATATCTGCACTGCTAATTCTTCACATCATAAGAAAAAAGAAAAGAAAAACATATTATCCATTGAAGAGGTAGTTGAAATTATCCTTTGCTCACTTTTATTTGTTTCATATGTATATGTGACGGCGAAAGACCGAAATCCGTGGTTGTTGACTTACACCGGTGAATGTCGACAAACACCAAATACGTCGGTGAAAGATCGAATATTTCATTACATTCTTGTACATTCGGACCCTCATCAGTGTATGTCGACAATCACAGATATGCTTTGGTGAATGTCCGAAATATTANTTTCCATACACTTTGTGTTGAAGAAAACCTTTAGGAGAGACCATCAAAACCTCTCCCAGCATTCGGAAAAACCTTTGCACTTAAAAGCGGAAGAGGTCAAATAAGAAAGCACGAAAAAATATCGAAACAAGAAATATTAACAAAACAAATAAGTAGTTTAAATTGTATTTAAAATGTTTGTGTGAGGTTCTTATTTAGAGAGCTCTTTTTGACAAGCTCAGAAAGAGATTGACAACTTCATGTTCAAAGTGTACTAAAGATGATGCTATCAATGATTTATTTTTAAAGTTGAAAATTAAATTACAGAAAAAAAATTATTTTAGGAAAACCTCAGCATTGCAAACAAACCTCATCTCATTTTTTAAAACTAACTAATTTTCATGATATAAAATTTAATGCAAACTTGATAACTATTTTAAATGATTTATTTAAAATAGTTATTTTGCTTATACACATAATAATATTAGTAGGAATCATTTTTAACTCTAAATTTTAGTTATGAATCCAGTTTTCATAATGCCAACATAAGAGGTATTTTCACACCAAGAAACCACCATAAACCACATTAATTTTCCACGCATAAGCAATGAAAATCGAATCGAAAAAAGCTCTAAAACAGAGCAAGAACTCTTAACTGTTCACAGATGGCAAGAAAAAGTATTTACTGGAAGGTACAATCTATAGAGCAAACTAAATAAAAATATGTGAAACAATCTATACTACACAAAATTCTACAAAATGCAAGGCCTCAAATTTCAAGTTTAGCATTGTAAAGATCTACAACCAGTCTATTATATAAATCAATAGCCTTTTATAACTGAAAAATCATTCCTTTAGAGAAACATATGATTTATTACACAGCTACCATCATTGTAATGAAATTTTTACATAAACAGCAAAAAAATACATTGAAAATTCAATTACATAAAAAAATGATTGGTTATATCGATTTATTAATGTTTTAACTATGAAAATGTTTTTATCAATATTTTGTCAATATATATAATATATGTTTTTATCAATATATATAATTCTTTTATCAATTATCAATATACTTATCTATATACAATACTTACGAGTAATTAAAATGCATTTAATTCATACCTCATGTTTATACTTGAATGTTGTATCTATTTTTGATAGAGTAAATGGACAAGTTGAATAAGCTCTTAATGTGTAGTATATGGTAGTACTTTTTTCATATTGTGAAATAACAAGAGTATATCGAGCAGTCCCTCCCTGAGGTACAATAATTTTACATAAATAATGTGGACTGTTGATTCTAACGCCATCTATATATGGATCAGGATCATCTATATAAAACAAGGAGGTTGTAAAATAATTAAAAATTTACTTATAAATGAAACATAGAACTATATAAGTGAAGCCATATAGATAGTTTGTCTATGGTAAGAACTCCCTCCGCCATAAAGTCTGAGGCCATCTGCTGCTATGGAAATAAGAATAGCGCATTTCAGCGAGGGTAGTTTCTCTTCATTCTAACACAATAGACCGTAGAAAAAAATTACTTTCTTTCGCTGACCAGAGCCAAAACCTGTTCTAAACAGTGACCCCACACTCCTACATGAAATAGTTATGACTCGTTATCATTGCTGCCACAGGTCCAGATCACTGGCTAGAGGAGTTCTTACTTTAAACAAACTATACAATATGCAACAAAAAGGGGCGCTTAGATAATTCTGGTTCAAATTATGAGAATGACATCGACTAAGATGCTATGTTAAACATGGGATAAGATTAAGTTACAAAATCAGACACAAAAATGTACTTTCGTTAAATAAAATAAATGTTTTGTCAACACATTTTCATTCTTGATCCTTAAAATATAGGGAGTGGTCTAAATAAGGAAAATATGGTCCCAATACTTTGGTCAGGAGAGAGGCCTAAAGTTTGGTCCTCTTTATGTTAATTTCCCTTTTTTTGTATATTTCACAAAATTTCTGGAACTTTTTCACTAAATCAAAGAGTTTTCACACACAATTGTATAACTCAGTTGCGTAAAGACTTTTATCATTATTATTGAACTATTTTATGATACTAAAATGACTATTATCGAAGCATTTGTGAATAGTAAAGTATATAAATTTATACATTGTGTTAAACTTCGTAATTTTATTAATTGGAATCTGAAATTTAACAAAATTGGTTAAATAATTTCAGAGAAAGTAAAACAGCAAAAAAATTTATTTTTTCGTCATTTAAAATGAAGTAAAAACTTATATAACATACAACCAGAACTGTTTATCACTGTGAATTCAGCTAACATATTTCTTAACTAAACACCTCAGTTAATAACATGTCAAGATAATTATTTAAGCACTTACTAGGAATGTAAACTTTTCGCCCATCATTTTTATACACAATGACAGCAATGAACTCCTTGTTTTCAGCAAAATCATCCTATGGAATAATAATTTAATCAATATCAACAAAAAATTATCATTAACGATTATTACTATAAATGGAGCATATCTTTCAAAATTAAAAATTTATAAAATAACACAAATTTCATGATATTCATTCGTTGTTAGCATTATAAATTGCTTGCAATATTGACAAAGAATAAACTTGAAATAAAGAATTGACAAAGAATGAACTTGAACACAAAACACTTTTAAATATGTTTATTTTTAAATTCATGATTTTGAATACTAATAGTAATTGTATAATGGATTTTAGGTAGTTAGGACACATTCTTTAGCTACTTTAAAAACAAAATGCTTTAATTAAATTTAAAAGAGGAATTAAATTTAAAAAAGTAACTGAAAATTTTAGAATTTTTAAAAAGGAAAAAGTTTAAACTGATTAGAATTATTGAGATTCAGTTCATTATGTTGAAGAAATACTTATTTAAATTCTCAAAAAAGCAAAGAACTGAATAAAAAATTTATTTTGAGAAGGTTTTTTCTCAAAAATTTCCACAGTTTCTGAGATTTTTCTAAAACAGTGAAATACAAAAGGTATTACGCAAAACCCTTAGTTCTGAGGAAGGATAACAGGAATCTGAGAATTTGAGCTTATCACTTAGTAAACATGTTATTTAATATATCAGCTATTATTTATAAAATTATTGAAATAAAATATCCGTTAAAAAATTGCAATATTAAAAAAAAATAACATTAAAATTATGAAAATAACATTCCTTTGCAAAAAATTAGATTGTATTATTCTATCAAATTTTTCAATTCAAAACAAAATTACCGATTTCAACAATATGAAACTTCTTTAACTGATAACTTTTCTCAACATTTATTACAACACTGATTTGCTTTCATTTTAACAAAAATCATCAATCAGAAGCTAATTTTTTTTTTTGTCTGCTTGTTTGTTTTGGGATTATGCACACAATAAAAGCAAATTTTCAGCTAAACTAAATGGCACAGCAGATCTGCAAGACTAATATAAAAATTCCAAGACTAATATAAAAGAATTCATTCCTTATATTTAATGTTTTCAAAATATGTAATTTGAAGTCTTTGGTTAATATTTTTATACAATTATGCTAATTTTTTTATTTATAATGTAAGGGATCAGCCGTAAGAAAGTCGATCATTTAGGAATTCATAGTTGGAAGTGGGAGAATTTTTAATGAAATCAAGAGACCAGAAGAAACTGGAAAAATCCAGGAAATTTGGCAAGAGTATTTTTAAGCATTTTTCAAATATTAGTATTTTAAGCATTTTTAGGTATTGACATTTTAAGTATTTTTTAAGTATTAAAATTTTTAAGATTCATTTACATTACATACACATAATAATTAAATGAAAGTAAGTATAATTGAATTATTAGTAGCAGCAAGAGACTTATTTTATTGAAAAAACAATGCTTCAGTAGCAATATATTTTTTCAAACACAAACATATTCAATTAAATGTGGTTAAAATCAAAACAAATTTGGGGTACAAACATTTTAATGAAGTACAAAATAATAACTTTGCGAAAAGTAACTCTTTCAGCTATATTTGATCAAATCATAATTTAAATTGTCAACTTACTCGATCGACAATATGTCGTGTCAAAAGAACCCATACAGCCCCTGCAGCTTTAACATCCAGGCAGTATTGCGGATTTTCACCAATATTATAAAGATCTTTAACAGGACCAACTCCAGCTTTCCAAGCTCTAAAGTTAAAATTTTTAAAACAGTTTTTAATACATAATAATGAACAAATATAATTAATCAAATAAGCAAATAAACAAATTTTTATTTTTATCTAGACCAGAAATAATTTGAAACCAAAATAACAGCAAAAATAAAATACACAGTATAATAAAATACACTAAAAATTAAAATTGTAAAACACGAGTTAACAAGAACAAGTGATATATCTAATTTAAATATAATTTAATAGTAATCAAAATTAGTTAGATTTTTTAAAGCTGGATTTATACCCCATTATAGTTAGTTTTGTTATTATAATTAATATGAATACAGTGTAGCAGTCAACATTTTAAACTAAAAACTAAGAAGATCGATATACAATGTCTCATCCACACGATATGAATTTAAATAACACTAAGCCTTTACTATTTTAAGAGATAAAATAGATACATAATTCCCATTTTTATAGTTAAGATTAATACTTTTCATAATTTGTAAGCATTAGTTTCCTTTTAAGTATTGAATTTAAACAGAATAGTAAAAAGATTTATATTTATTTGATAACTTAAAGTTAAGAAAGGTTTAAATTATTGATTAAAACAGTCCGATTACAATTAAAAAATGCCATTATGAAATTGGATTTAATTTGGAATAATTTCTCAAATGTAACTTTCTCACATACGTATTTTTTTTATCCTACCATGAAAAAAGGTATGGTTTCTGTAACTAGATATTACAAAAATTGTCTTTTATATATCATTTAAATTTTCTACCATACTTAACTTATTTAAAATTTTGATACAAAACATTAAAGAGCAACAATAATTGGTGTTGCACACTTGTTGTGTACAAATTTTTTTAACACATTTTTGAGATAATCCCTTAAAAAAGGGCATAAGTAAAAACAATGTGTTATAACAAAAGTATCTGTTCTGACTCACACAATTTTAAATTTTAGTAATAACCTTTTTTTTAAATGAACATTTTGAACTGTTATGATTAAAATATAAATATATTTTATCTGTTTTTTTTGTCACATAATTTTCAACTACTTAGAAAACTGTGTTGTAAATTTCGTTTAAGAAGCTAATTTATTTTTAAGACATTCCTAATGTAAATTTTGTTTTTTTTTCTCCGCCAAACTAATTCCAGAGTTAATCTTGAAAACAAAGGCAGAAGTAAAAATAATGTGCTATAACTGCAGTATCTTTTCTGTCTCACATAACTTTAAATTTCAGTAATAACTGTTCCTTTTTTTAATTAAATGAATATCGTAAGCTTTCATAAATAAAACATAACTATAAATATACAGGGTGTCCTAAAACTATGGCATAAACTCTGCACAGCTAGATTCCTCGTTGGGAGTACATAAAAACTGCCCAAAGAAGCGTTCCTGAACGATCCATAGTTTACGAGAAAAATATGAAAAAACAAAGTATGACATCACTGCCGGTTCCAGAAAAAACACTTTATTCAACATATCAACAGCAGTATACTACGCACAATTTAAAGCAGATGTTCAAAGTATCTGCCGTGCATGTCGAGGCAGGCTTGAGTAAGCCATGGAATGGTTGTCATCACACGTTGCAGCATCACGGGATCCACCGAAGTACAAGCAGCATGCAGGCGAGCAACTAAGTCCATTGGTGTTGTCACTACATCTCGATACACCAGTTCCTTGAGATGGCCCCATAGGAGAAAATCCAACGGTGCAAGATCTGGCGAACATGTTCAATAAAGTGTTATGTACTGATATGTAACTAATATGCTCAATAAAGTGTTTTTTCTTACACTGGCAGTGACATCATACTTTGTTTTTCATATTTTTCTCATAAACTATGGATCGTACAGGAACGCTTCTTTGGGCAGTTTTTATGTACTCCCAATGAGGAATCTAGCTGTGCAGAGTTTATGCAGTCGTTTTGGGACAATCTGTATTTTGTATTCATTATTTCTCACCCAATTTTCAACTAATTAGACAATTGTATTGTAAATTTCTCTTAAGAAATATATTCAAAATATTTCAAGTTAATCAATACTTTTGAATTACCTACAAATAAAGTATAATATCATTATTTTACGCAAAATGTAACTTATGAAATTTACTTACTGATGAAGGCAATAAGTGTATTTGAAAATATCAGGATTCCAATTCAAATAGATTACTCGATAAAAATGAAGTAGAGAGTCAAAGTCAATCCAAAAAACACCTACAATTCAATATAGTTAGCTTTTCAAATTAATTTCACATGAGCACAACATTTATAGTTTACTCTCCACTTCTGTTAACTTGAATACTTGCGTATGAAATTTTGATCCTTTATTCTATGATTTATTCTTATTATTATTTGATGATTATTATAATTATGATTTTAAATTTTAAAAAAAACAATAAATTAGCATCCTTACGTAAAATATAAATGTATATTTCATTGTTCAAGACTTATGTGTTATCTAATTCAGATATTAAAATCAAAATACTTATTCAAGTAATAAAAAAATTCATTTGTCTTTAAGACAATTGTTTAATGATAATTGTTGATGAAATTTGGTGGAAAAAATTCCAGAGCTTTCTTTTCATTTCAAAATTATTTAATCATTAAAAAAAATTTTAGAAAATATTTAGCACTTGTTGCACTTAATTTAAATTACACTAACAGAAAAGTACATTTTTTTTAAATAAATCAGACTTAGTAAAAACGATAATTTTTGATCTGTGATCAGTATATGAAGCATCAGAATTGAAATAATGAGCCTTGTTAAGGTGCTGCAAAATCTTGCCTAGCTTGCAGTTTTATCCATATGCTAAAAATTTCACTAAAAATTAAAAATTTTTAAATCAAACAAAATTTAAAAAGTAATATTAATTTTCAATAAAAAATAAAAAGATTGTTTTGAAAAATATTCAATGCAAGTAATAAAATGTCTGTTTTGTCATAATTACCGTTATCAAACATTTGGGCATTTCTGGGATCATATCTTAAAGCTTCCTTAAGTTGCGGAGTCCAGCTTTTTGTGTCGTGCTCAGAATAACGACCTTTCCATCGCAAATGGCTCCAAGGATTTTTCAGCAGACATAAGCGTGTTCCCTAAAAACAAGAATATACTTCAAGGTATACAATTATAGAACAAAAATTTTAATTTTGATTTAAAAAAAAAATTGGTAAAAATATAGCAATAAAACTAACACTAACTTTAAAATAGAATTAGTAAAACATAGTCAAACTTGCTTATAATGAACCTAAATTTAATGAGAAAATTAGAAATACTTGGTTAGTTACATTATTAAATCTATTTGAGAGAAGCATGCTTATAACAAGCAAAAACTGGTCTTAGAGAAAATTATTCACAAAATTTCTGTTTAATTCTATAAATCTAGCTCTACCTTAAAAAAATTCTTTTTTGATGTTTCTCGCTGATAAATTCGTTTTTAATGTCAAAGATGCTTTCCATGAGTCTTATTCAAAAAAACAATACGACAATAAGAATAGGTTAAGACAAAACAAAGCAAATTATCTAATTTCTTTTATGCTGTAGAAGATAAAAAAATAAACTTTTATACTAAAGTTTACTTACTAAATTAGAATAATTTTATAATTTAGTAAGCATGTAGGAAATTTTATGATTTTTCGCTTTTGATGCTTCTAGCTGATAAATTCTTTTTTAATGTCGAAGATGCTTTTCAGGACATCAGTCTTATTCAAAAAAACAATACGACAATAAGAATAGGTTAATACAAAACAAAGCAAATTATCTAATTTCTTCAGTGCTGCAGAAAAATTAAAAAATAAACTTTTATACTAAAGTTCACTCACTAAATTATAATAATTTTATAATTTAGTAAGTATGTAGGAAATTTTAAGATTTTTCGTGGACTCCTTTTTTACAAGCACTCAGCTGTAAGGAGAAAATATTACTGTCTCTTGTTGCTCATTATAAGCCAATTCAGCTGCAATACATTTCCATGTGAAAGGGAAGAAGTTTCGGAAAAGTTTTATTTAAAATTAAAATTACAGGGGTCTGCTTTAATCAGGATTCATCCACGTAGCTAAACCCAGCAACAGAAATAACATACAGTTCCTGCTCATCTTTCAGACAAACATAAAATGGAACAGAAAATATGACTAGCGCAAACAGCGCAGCCTAAATATAAGACAATAATTAAATGCATACAGTAATCATAGTCAAAAATATTGTTGTCGGAATCTAACATTTTAGTTTAGCATGGCATAGATAGAAAAATATTCCACCCCTTGAATTTAATTGCTTTAAAATAATTTTAAAAGTTTTGTCTTCATAACAACAACGCCAGATTTTTTAAATTTAATTTTATTTACAAGTTTTGAGCTTAGGACACATTTTCAAAGAAAAATCCACTTAGTTTAAACATTTCTCAGGTTATATTTGAAAAAATATGGTAATCTGATAATTAAATGAAATAATGCAAATTTCCTTGTGAATAAAAGATAAAATAAATGATCAAAACTTCATAGCTTACCATAACTTCCTTAATGTCCAACATAGCATATGCATGAGTAGGAACTAAACCTGCCCTATCTGCTTCATCTTGGCTTAACTCTCCAGTAGCAACTGTAATCAGCACGTGTCCAGCTTTGTGTTTATCAAGCAGCTTTTTAAAGATAGCATCCTTGGGAAAAGTAGGATCATTTAAGTCAATTGATATTCTATCTGGAATCCAACCAGTCAGAGCATGAAGATCTATGTTCTAAAAATCAGTATAATTCACTATTAGAGCTTGTATAATACACATTCTAAAAATCTCGATTTACAATAATCTGGATTTTGAAAAGAGAAAAACGAAATTGCATAAAGAGTGACTCAAGAAATTAAAGGTGCAACATTAATGATATAAGATTTAAGTGGTTAAGATATTAGCAAATTTGGTAAAAAACGAGAAACGTTACTCAAATGTAAATATTGTTTTCACAAACAATAAAAGGCTAAAAGCTAAGGGGTGACAAAATGTGTGCCAAGGCAATCTTAAGGATGCCTGTCAGAGTTACAAAGGGTGTTCTGAGCTGCCTATTACTTCAACTCTAATATTAATCCCTGAATAGTAATCTGTTGCTATTCAAAAAGGAAAAGTTTCAAGGTTAAGTTTATAAACTTTTGGATGTATCTAATATATTATTATCCTATTCTAAGTGAAAAAGCTTTGAGGGTTCAAACTCTCTTTGTTACTGCGTAAATTTGGTTTTTAAGCAGTTACTTTTCAAAAGAGCAAATATTGCATGAAAATAAATGTTGAAAAGAATATTTAGTAGCTATATTAAGATAGTGCCATAATTTGAAAAGTTATATTATCAGTAGCAAGTTCTTGCACTAAACAAATTCTTAATACCAGAATATGTTAATTTCTTTTTATTTATATTTTCTGCTATATTTTTAAATTTTATGCTGTGTATTATTATTGATCCCATCTTTTTTGTTACAACTAACAGATTAAGTATGAGTTTTACCAATTACATTTATATTTTCATCTCTTATTTACACTTATAAAACATACATTATGTATAAAATAAGCAATAAACCACACACGAATATTATGTGCTTGGGGTACTGAAAGACAATTTCAAATCTCAAAAGGTTGGTATAACTAGGAAAAGTTTAGAAATCCATGTTATAAGGAATTTTTACACACTTTTAAATTTATTTTTCGAGAGATAAGTGTAATAATGCTTTTCCACTGTTGCAGAACTATATCTCTAAAATTTCAAGGAGAAAAAAAACACATAACTGTCTGTAATGCTTTCTATGCCAATATTACAATGCAAAAAGAAACATATAATTTGTGTTAAATTTATATTTTTCCAAAATATAAAATACTCTTTCAAATATATGAATAAATATTTAGCAATAAGAACTTCAAGAATTATGAAATTCAGCTCCAAACAATTAAATAAATTTGTCTATGAGTAAAAAAATGAAGAAAGAAACAAGGGTTTATTTGAAAACTGCAAAAAATTAATACATTTTAGGGTACTTTTGTTAGAAAAAATACGTCTGCAATTTTTAATGTAGGCCTAACTACAGTCAAAAATTAATTTTTTTCTCAAATCAGAGCTAAAATTCATAGTACTAGGCGTGCACAGTTCTGTTTTTAAAGTTTGAAATAATCAAAATATATGAATAAAAAAATATTTAAAGTATTACCATACAAAGGAAAATAATAGTATAAGCATAGTTTAAATACATATTTTTAGAAAAAAAAAATTATGCATAGGAAGACCACATAACAAAATATTTCTTAGACAGTTCAGATCTTAATCATTTTTTTTCCCAATATCTGAAAAAAATATTAAACTAATCATTCAGCAACTTAGGAAAATCAATTAATGGACTCAATAGAAATCTTTAGTACTAATTAATTAATGAATTAAAGTGGCCTGTAGCAAATTAAAGTAAATGAATAACAGCTTCCATAACTATATATCACAAAAATGGCAAATATTCCAAATTTTGGTAAAGATCCTGTTTAACAAGCATAAAACAAATATATTTCATTAATATTTTGGAGTTCTGGTATACATGAATAAAATTAAATAATTAAATTTTAGAGAGATATTAATAGAACAAAGTTAATTACACTTAATTATATGAATCCTTACAAATAATGTTGTTTAATTAAGAATACTACATTTGTAATTTTTTTAATATATATTATAAAAAAGATACAATTTGAAAAAAAAAAAGATATTTGCTGAGAGATATTTCTTAAAGGAAATTTTACAGAATATATTTAAAGAAGCGAATAAAAGATACTAAAAAACAGTGGCCAGTTTTTAGTCACATATATTTAAACAGGGTATCTAGCTTTGATAAGAATTTCAAACAAAAATCTCCTCTTAGTCTTTAATAATCACTTCTTTTAAAAAAAAATTTAAAAAAAATAATAAAAAATAATAAAAAACCTAATTTTTATTGCACCATTTTGACTTTCGTGAGAAGTTGTATCTTAAAATTTAGTAAGGTCAAAAATCTTCAAAAACCATCAAATTTGGAATGAAGATCACACAAATTTTTGCAACCAATAGATACCCCATTTAAATGCTATGAGCATTTAAATGGGGTATTAGGAAATGTATTTATTAGATGTATGTATTAGAAGTATGTATTAGAAAATGTATGTATTGATAAAAAGAAATATAGTATATTGTGCATGAAAATATTCCCAAAATAGATGTAGTCAATAAACCGTTAACTTGTTGTTCATGAAATTTTCAACGAAATTTCAGCATCAATATTACCAGCATATAAGATATTAGAGATATAGAGGTTATTCATAAATTATATGAAATGACCGACCATGCTTCTTTAGACACAAACATGAAATAAGAAAATGTAGATATAGGGGAAAATTCCCGCACGAGAATGACTGCCGTTCTCTTTAACATATAAACATCTTCTGCTCTACAAAAGCTCTTGTGATAGTGTGCACATGCGCGGACAACCAGTAACATATTAAATCTTCCAGAACTGTAATTCACAATAACAAGTTGAGTATATTATTAAAACAATAAATTATAACACAAATACTATTCATTAAGGAAATTACTTACAGAGTTTGATCCAGGAAAGTCATAACCACCCATAACTTTCATATAAGCTTTTTCCAATAATGAAATCCAGAATTCATTTTTATTGCTTGAAAATGAGCATAGAAGTTCACCATGAGACGCCATTGGCAAATAATCATCTATAATTATCTAAAAATTTATTTCTTAAATTAAAAAATTTTCATTCAGAAACAAAGTCATAATCAAGGGGAAGTAAGTGTTACCTTTCTCTGAACTCCATTAAAATGCATTTTCACCATATATTTTCCACAAGGGTTGTATACAGGATCACCTGCTCTGTTTTGTGGATATATAATACTGAAAAAAATAATAAAAGTTAACATGAAGAAATAAAAGTTAGAAAAAAAAAATTTTAAATACTCAAGGTCACAAGTAAATATAAGTAAAAAAGAGTAAATTGCTTAACCATTAAATCGGGCATATAATTGGAATCTGCAACTAAAAAGTTAGAACAAAAGTAAGAACTTTATTTAGAAGGAACACATTATCTTCGGCAGACAAATATTTAAGTTGTTTCTGTTTAGTTTGAACATGTATTCAAAATTACAGACAAGTCAACATATGACTAATTTCAATAAAACTTTTTACTGACTTCCATTATTAAATTTTAAATTTAGCAAATTTAATGTTGTGCGCTAATTAAAATCAGAAACTGTGTCGGAATTTATTTTTTTTAAAAATAACAAAGAGAAACACAAAAATAACACAAAGAAGAATTATGAGTAAAAATTGGAAAACAGAATTGGTGGTTAAAAGGTGACTTTTTTAACCACCAATCACACCTTGTAACCACAAATTCTGTTTTTCAGTAAAAGTATTGTAAAGTACTTGAAAAGTACTGCGTAAAGTATTTGTTTTTTATTAATATAAAATGCATTGCACTCATTTCATGTATTTCTTAGCTTCACATAGGCAACATTATTTTTTGCGAGTCAGTTAAAAAACTGTGTTCCATAAAAAGTATTTATACAAAACAATACTTGCAGTCTGAATAATTAAAATACGTCAGAATTATGTATCACATCATTCACTATATCAAACTGTAGAGTACACAAAATTACAATATTTAATGTTAGAAAAGAAAATGAGGAGAAGAATAATATGGAAGAAAGATAAAAAGCTAAATATATTATACTGCAGTAGTAGGACTAAGAGCCTTATTGTTGCCTATTTCATATAGTGCAAAAAAAACGTTTTTTTTTTATGGAAAACATCATGAATCCAGTACTCATCTGGAAAAAATACTAAGGAACTGTTTGTAAAAATGTCAAGTTTGATCAATTAACTTTAAAATATACATTGAAATTAGCTAGAGTTAATTAAAATAAGTTTGTTACAATAAATTCTGTTTCAAATGTTTATAATTAATCACCTGTAAGCCATAAATAATAAGTTATTTTTATCAACAACATAATATTAAACAACAAAAAACAATTCAATTTTCAATTAACAATTCGATTTTCTTTCTGAAAAGCTACTAACAAATCTTTTCGAAACAACATGCCATACAAACAACATACAGTTAAAAAAAATTACCTAGTGATAATCTTCTTAGAAAATCTTTTCTCATAAAGGGCACTTACAGCTAGTGAGGCAATAAATGAGCAATCACTCACTATAGTCTGTAAATTATAAAATAATAAATGCAACAAAGTAATGATTACACATATATATTAAACAGATTAGATGATGAAGTAAATTACCTGCCTAATACTAAAACAATCAATGAGTTCAATAAGTACAGGTTTAGAGGAGATATCCTCAGGACGAGCCCACCTAGCAAAGGAAATTTTCTGTTTAGGACTTAAAGCTAGTTTACCATCTTTATCACTAAATGGAAGTGGATAAGCAAATCTTTCTTTCAGATCTATGGACATAAATGGAACATATTCTCTGCCATTAACTATGGATGTTACCCTAAAAAATAAAGATATTTATAATGCACAATAATCCTAAAGTGATAAACTACATCAGGGCGCGTAGCCAAATTATTCAACAAAAGAATAAGCACCTTTTAAGCACTTTTCAAGCACTCAAAAAAAAATTTAAGCACTTTTCAAGCACTCAAAAAATATTTTTAAGCACTTTAAAAAAATATCATAACCAGGCAGGGTTGGAAAGTTTTTGACAATTAACGGTTCTATCTTGTTTTAACCTTCATGTCAAAAAAAAATTTGACATTGTTTTTTACAATTGTCAAAAACCATGAAATTTTGAATCATGTAAAAGGAATTTTTTTCATACGTTACAGACTGACAATACGCTATGCTGAAATAGATTGGGGTTGAATTAATTGTGAAAACGTTGAATAGAAGAATGTGAACTGTGTCTTTTTGCATAATTTGCAGTGAAAATCAACATATTAAAGGAGAAATCTCATTTTGAAAAAGGGAAAAATAAGCACTTTTTAAAAATACCCAATGAATAAAGCACCTTTAAGGGCTTTTAAAAAATGCTATGCACCCTGTACATAACAGTAAAAAACTAATTGATTATGAAATAAAAGAAAAAGAAATAAACACATTAGTTTTCACACAAATTAACAGTTTTAACAAATTGATAGCAAAAATCAATTAAAGAACAAGTTTGTGCTCACATTAATGCATTATATTAATTAAGTATCTTAACTAAAAAATATTGATTCCTCTCTAAAACTGTAAATACTGCTATTGCACCACAATCTAAAAAATTTCATAAACAAGCTTAAACCAGGAATGAAATTACGAAAAAAAGAGAAAAAAAACATGCATTTGAAAAGAATATTTAAAAATAACATTTTGTATATAGCACTTTCATTATCAACAGACATTTTTGTTTAAACTTTGCTTCAGGAAATAAAAAATATTGAATTTAATAATACGCAACAATATTTAACAGCAACTTTTCAAACAAGAAGTTTGACAAATCATACCACTAATAGAGCAAAAGGTTAGAAAAAGAAGTCTTTGAAATGCGTCCAAAATTTTATAATAATGGAATGTTAGTAAGACAAAGTTTTAAATAAATAAGATATGCAACTAAATAAAAAAAAATTTTTATCTGAATATAAAAGTCTCAGATAGCAATACTGGCCATAAAAAAACTAGTTTTGTAGAAAATTTGTCATTTTAAAAATATTAGTTAATGAATGATATAATACCCCATTTACCCCCTGAGCGCCAGTCCCGACTTTTTAGCTGCAAGCTTTCCTGCATCAAAAAATTGGTTTCCTAATGTTATTCCGTAGGAAAGTAGTGTATAGATAGGAATTTTCTGCAAAGTTTTACCCAGAGTTTCAATGCTCAATACATATTGAAAAATGCTACTTACAAGCACATGACATCAATCTTTTTCAATCCATTGATTTAACGTTTTATTTAATTGGTTCATACACAATTTGTAAAATCTATGATACAAAATTTTTGTTAGCGTGGTTATTTTTCAATATTCTTAAAGATATAGCAAAATTAATAAAATTAAAAAAAACATGGATCTAAGGAAGAAGAAAAAAAAATTTCAAATATTTAAGGTTTCAGTTTACAAAGAATACAGACCTAAGAACAGCAATTTCCTCTTTAGTGTAAGCACTACTTCCAGTGACACGATGCTGTGGTGCTGGGGAACTAGGAGTTTGATTAACTAAGATTTGTCTTTGGTTAGGCACTTCATTCACTTTGAGATTTGAAAGTTCTGGCAAAGGTGTGGTCGGACAAGGAGGGCATTTCTTATCAAGAGATGATTCAACATCTTTTGCTTTCAGAGTTTCGGCCCTAAAATATTTAGTAATAATAAAAATGCCACATAACACTACTTTTTAAAAAATAAATAAATAAATATTAATTAACTATGTTTGTTGCATTAATCAATTGGTAAAAATTGAGAATTTTTTTTATTGGAGGTTACAGCAAAAACCCCTGGACTTATATAACTTTAATATAACTTTATAATATAACTTTAACTTTTTTTAACTTTTTTAAACTTCTTAATATAACTTTATTTTTAAAAAAATAAACAAAAAAATAACTAATAATTTTAAGATTAGACATGTAATAATTAATAAATTTAATGGATTTTAAAGTGGTCGCCTTTTGCAACAATGCAGAGGCGCAAATTCTTTTCAGCATTGAGCAGCAAGTTTTCGGCCTTTAATCTATCTAATTCCCATCGAAGTGATTGCTTTAAAGACTCCAAATTTTTGTGAACAAATATTGTTTGCAGAGCAAATAAATGATTTCACACAGTTTTTTCCCTGCTTAAACAACTTTAAAATAGCAGCACTACTGCTTGACATTGTAAAAAAGCTAAAAACAATAAATAACCAGGAGATATATTATAAAATATTTAGTAATTATAATGGCAGACAAAAAGAAACGAGCACACAATTTAAAAGGGAATTAGTAGTTAACTTCTATTCTATGATGTAATATGTTCTATGTCTAACTTTGTCTATGTTTTGCTGCATCATGTAGTACAACAAATCAAATTTATTCTAAATTTTCATGGTTAAGAAATTTATAATAATGGATAAAAATACCTAACGATTAATATATAAAGAAACTAATTAGAATATTCTCTGCATTTTAATGATAAATTGATAAGGGAGCAAACAAATGTGGAGTTTTGGACATCCTAAATTGGTTTTTGGACAGGGTGCATAATATTAACTATTCACATTATATTAACTATTAAATTATTATTATTATTATAATTTATATATAACTATTAAAATATTATATATAACATATAATATTAACTATTAAAATCTATTTAAAACATTCATCAATTCTGAAAATAGTTAATACTTTTTATAACCCCATATGTTAAAACTAAGCACTTATTGTATGTAAAGAATATGGATATTTAATTCTAACTATTAGTTTGATATCAGTATAAATTTCATAATTCATAGTAATTTTAAGATTGCATTAATAAATTATAAAACCTATAACTATGCAGTTATTTTGCATTAACTCAAATAATATCTAAAAAATTTTACACTTCCTAAAAATTTCTTTCAAATTCTGGAAAAAAAATTCTATTTCTTAAAAAAATTTCATAAATAAAATTCTTTAAAAAATTTCACAAATAAAACAAAAGTGACTATTTTTAAAATATATATATATTAAAAAAATGTAATCATGAATTAAAAATTACAGTTTAATTGGTATTTTTTTTCCTGTTATAGCTATTTTCCATGATAAATGCCTATTTCTAAACTGTGACACATTGCTCACATAAAACTAGACTACAATATCTAGAAAAGTTTAAGGTGAGAAGAATAAAATCAAAATTTTTTTATTCAATTGTTTTTATTAGATTTTAAAGATAAGAATCCAGATTTAATATTAGTTTAATTGATAAGTTGTTAATTTTACATTATAGTTAATTGCTAATTCCTCAATATTTTTGTATTGTTTAAATGAAACTTCAACCAAAATTTAGCTATGAACCATTCACAGAAGTGTTTTGGACTGGACGGCATTTGCATTTAATTCTTCCCTAAAATAATCAATTATACTGTAGGTTCTATTACAAAAATTATTTTCCTTGAAAATCAAAATTTCAAGTCAATAAAAAGTTGTCATTATGTTTACATATTTACCATAAAATGTTTTAGTCAAATTATAAAACATTTAAATTTACCAAAAGGGTTCTGAAATTCCACTTTTTGTGACCCAACACATAAATTTCAATTTTTTAATTATAAAATAATTTATAAATTTCATGCTAAAAAAAAGTAAAATTTAGAATTCAAAGTAACACCAAAAAACATATATCCGAAAAGTAACATTTAGGTCACCTTAAATTTATATGAAAAACTTAATTTTCATGAACAAATCAGCTAAGAATTTTTTTGTTTCAAAAAGTAGATTATAGGAAATCTAAATGTTACATTTCATACATATTTTTTCTATTACTTCACATTTTTATATTTTTAAACTCAAAAGCTAAAATTTGTTATATTTATGCTTAATTTTTTAGAAAAAAAAAAGAAAAAAATCTAATCTAAGTTTTCAACAGAAAAAAGGAAACTTTAGGCCTGTTACTGAAGACAAAAATATTTTTAAATTCAACTGAAAAAAATTTTGTGAAGTATTTGAGAATAATAATAACTATTAACCAATTTGAAATTAAGAATTTTGAACAAAACAATTTTCAGGATTCACCCTGTCATACAGAAGTTCCTTTATTATGCCCCTAACATAAAAAGAATGCAATCCCAAATTTTTTTTAATTATTATTCCTTCATTCTCTGTTCAAACAATATGCAAAAATTCACTTCTAAATTCGCTAGTATTTTTTAGGAATTCATTGTAATTTAAATTGCAATGAATTTGCAGAAAAATCTTTGCAACAATGAATTCACAAAAAATTCTTCATACGCAAATTTCTATAAATTCTAAGCATACAGTGACACTAGAACAATAGTTCACTTCATTAAAGCAATAATGAATATAAATAGAAAGCTTGAGATATATAAAAAATTTTAAATGTTTCTTCTGAAATAACTTAATAATGGTTAAATTCAAAAAACTAACCTGTCAAGAGCCTTCTCAGCTAATTTTGACAACTTAAACTGCAAATCTTTGTCCTTAGTCATCTTTCTCTATGAAGAAAAATAAATAAAAAAATATTTAGAAATACTGCACTGTCAATATTAAAATTTATTATTATAAAATTAAAAGAGCTAAAATGACTCATAAAGAAAAATTAATTGTTTAACTATTTATGAAAAAAAAATATTCTTTCAACATTCATTGTCCTAAGAAATTATAAATGCAATGTAAGAAAGTATATATGTAACAGACGTAAATCCAAAAAAAAAACACATCAACTTAAATACATTTTGTTCTAATGATAAGAATTTCACATAGTAAATGTAAATTTTAATAATTCAAAAAAGCAACCTCAAATATGCTAAGTAATTAGTGCAGACTATTAATTAAGTTGTGAAATCAGGCATAAAATTTGTATTTATTTTCAAATAAAGACACCTTTTTTACAACAGATTTATATTTCTAACCATCAAGATATGATTGAAAGTTGCTACATGAAATACACAATATTAAGTAATTTAGATGGTCTGTCAAAAGTTTGGATCTCTTAATATTAATTTCATTTTTTACTAATGCCACATCTGAATAATATTTGAAGGAAATTAAAACTTTAATGCATACAAAATTCACTTACACAAAAATAATTCTACACAAAAAAATAATCTGTAATAATGATAATTTATGATTTTTTTCTTAGATTATGTAATATTGGTCATCAGAAACATTTCGAATTTTATAAGGTTCACAAATCTTTACATAATTTTGAATTACTTAATTTTAAGTGACTAGATACAAAATGTAGGCAAAATTTTTATAACTTAGTAAAACCAATTTCAATCAAATTTTGAAATTTGTTATTTAAAATTTTAACGTAATTAAAAAAATGTGAACTACCATGCACATTACATTTCAAATTCGTTTTATAAAAAATACAATTTATGATTATGAAATAAAATAAATAATTTTTAAAAAACTTTCCATAGAATTATATGGATTGTTTTAGACTGACTTAAAAGATATGACGAAATAAGCCTAAATTAACAGGCCAAACTTTCGACTTTTCTGCTGATAAGACAGGAGCAACCATACTTTTCAAATTGCAGTTATCCATAGCTGCCGGGAATAAAAAAGATAATGTTTATTCAGAGAAAGTACATTTTGGCATCTGATTTTTTTGCTTAGAAGCACTAATTATTTAGAAAATTTGAGGCAAAACTTTCACATCATTAACAGGGGTCTGTCTAGGTTTTTCTGAGAGGTACCTATTTTGTGAAAATTTAGACATAATTTGTGAAAAGTTAAGAATTATATTAAAAAATCAACACAAAAATATGGTAAAAATATGGATTTATCGTTTCTTAAGGGATACAAAAATAAAATTTTAAGAAAAAGAATTTTGTGAAACTACCGTTTTTCCTAAAATTGAATTTGTGAAACTACCGTTTTTCCAAAGTTGAATTTGTGAAGGTACCGCTAAACGGTAGTAAATTCGGCCTGGACAGACCCCTGATTAAGATCACTTAGTGTAAGTTTAGTATCCTTAAAACAAAAAGTTTTGAGGACACTTTTTTTTTGTCTCACTGTAGTATTTTAAAAATGAAAAAACTATTTAATTTTAGAAATGAAATGTTTGATATTTGTAACAGAAGTAGTAATTACTGTTTTTAAACAAAGTTCAGCAGCTTGTAAATAGAGTTCGGTAGCTTCTTTATCATTGCCATTTTCATCTTCTTCAAAACCTTGACGTAATAGAAATTCAGCTCTATCTAACTGCAGACTTTCTTCATTTTTTACAGGTTTATTTAGATTACATTCTGCCTCTAAAATATAGCAATGAAATTTTAGTATTCATATTATCTAATATGTATCATATCTTATCATTAAAAAAGAAAAGAATTTTGCAAGATTTTAAAAAGGATATAAAATTAAATACATCAATTTAAACCTAGATAACTATATACGATGCACAAAGTGAAAAGTTAGGTAATAAATTGAAATTTAAAGCTATAGTTTTCCTTTTTTTTTAAACATACTTATTTTACAGAGATCATCAGCCCGTTTAAGATACTCATCAGATTTCTCCCTGATGCCTGCAATTTGGGATCCTAAGAGATAAGCGGCAGAAAGGGTGTGAGCAGATACCTGTAAATAAAATTTACAAAAAATGAGTTCCTGAATTACAAAGTAAGGCATGGAAGCTTGTTTTTATGGCTGAGGTTTTTAAAGTGTAAATTTTAGATATTTTATCCTGGATAATATAAATTTAAGAAATACAATGAATGTTTCATTATTTATTGCAAAGCATACAAATTAAAGTTTACTTTGCACCAAGCACTAAAAATAATGCCACACTAAAAAAATTTTTTGGTTGCAAAGAACAATATAAACTTAAAATTTTAAAAAAAAATCAATGTATTACTTTTTGATGCACATCAATTAAATACAGTAGAAAACCGATTATCCGGAACGATCGGGACCATCTCTATTCCGGATAACTGATTTTTCGGGTTTTCTGAATCGCTACAAAAAGCCGTTTTTTTTTATTGTTAAACCCAACTAAAAAAAAATATTTGGAAATAATCTTAAAAAGAAGAAAAAACGATGAAGTAATACACTAATGATTATTTCCAAAATGATGGTAAGGTAAGCATCTTTCAAAAAAGAAAGAAAAATTCTAAAATCTTATGAAGAAAAAAAAAAATTTTTATCAAAGGCTGGAAAATTTATCGAATTTCGTTTCGGTTTTCTGATTTCCGGATAACGGGTTCTGTACTGTACTTAGAATACAACTATCAGTTAGAAGGATAAGATTTAACTAAAAGACTATTAATATTCTAATTTATTCAATTCACATTTTGTCAACAACAGAGCTCCAGTTATATTTTGTTTTATCTTATGTTTTGGCAATTTAAATGTTATTTGGTCTTTGTAACTTAATTTCGCAAAGGAGTGCTCTCACAATATTTAAATATGTTATGGAGTTCATGCCATCATAGAAAGTCGGAGAAGCACATTTCAAACTATTGTGATATGTAAAGACTTAAATAAGTTTGGAAATATTCCTACTTTCTCTCTTGTTAACATATTATTTAGGAAAATTTCTGAATCTCAGTATCTGTACATAAATGCCACTAAGTCATAGAAAACGGGCAGTGATAATCAAAACTAAAAAATATTCCACAATCAAAGGCAAAAATCATTAGCCAAGCATCAATCAAAAATCATTAGAAGCCATTATACACACAATTTTAATCTATTCAAAATATAAGAACTGGAGAGTTAAACTTGGTGATTTTAATTGGTGCGAACAGGTAATGACCTGCAAATAATATTCCCGAAAATTTAATGCTCAATAAAATGTGTTAAAATATCTTTCAATGTTTAAATAGAAAATATATCAGAATAATTAAATATTTTTAACATTGTGTTGATTATATTTTAAATAAGATTTTGTACCTTATAGCATATCTTATTTAAAAATTCATACAATTAATACATTAGAAAATTAGGAATCTAATTGATGCACTTTATGCAGACCATTAAGTACATGTTCTGTAATTTTCTGATAATGATGAATTGAATATTATTTGTAAATATTTTAGTCTAAATGCATTGAGCAGTCATTGTGAAAGTCTAGGATTAGGCATCTTAGGCAGCTAGTAGACTATGCAGATTCCAATCCATGGGTAAATCAGCTTATATATAATGCTAACCATGTTACAACCATCATGCCTTGGTCACAAAATTGAGGAGCTTAGCATCCTTTACTCCTTGGCCTACACTGGGCTATTGCAAGAATGCATTTTTCTTCAAAATTTTGATCTGTTCTGTTTTAATTGGTTTGACTTACACAATTATTTGAAACAATTGATTATCAAGTGACAAATGATTATCATTATATAAAGAATTATGCTATATGAAAGCTACAAACTAGATTAATTGAACAATTTTGTACATTTTAAAAGTTGAAATAATTCTGCTTTAATAGCTTTGTGTTTCAAACTTAACTCACCCATGACTATCTCAAAAACTAAAAGGTAATTGAAATATAGCATTTAGTTAAGAGATGTATCTATCAGATAAAAAAATTCTCAGATATGATGAATATAATCATGTTTGGAAACATATTAAACATTTTTAAGTTAGGTCATAAATTTATGATACAAATTATATTATCTAAACTTAATAATGTTCACTAACACAAAAACAAGGGATATCTTCCCCTTTCTATATCTGTTCACATCAACTGTATTTGCCCAATTATTTTAAATAAATTAAACAAAGAACATACACAGTGGTTTTCCCCAGAATGAAGAAAGATTTCTCGATTGTTGGAAGAGTTCCTTAATGTGAACTACGGCAGAATAATTGCAAAATCATGGCAACTGCTGGGCAGAGACCTGCAAACACTAAATAAAAGAAAATAAGAAAGTAACAGCACAGAAGGCGACCAACTTAAGGAAATTATAACCACCCTCAGGCAAACCACTATAGGTTATTTTTTTAAAAAAATTGCAAATCAAAACTCCCTGTCATGATCAGCCACTCCAACTGCAATCCCCAAGGTGCCAAATTGGTTTTAAAAGGGAAAGTTTTTATTCAAAAAAAGCATGTAGACGATTGCCCGCGGGTAGCTACGAGTTTTACACTTCGAGATGGTCTCTTTGTGATGTTTTTTTTTTTTTTAATTTCTCACGAGCCGCTGCCTGGAAGTTCAATAACTCTGTTCCCTATCTTGATCTATCTATCATGACAGAACACAAAACGAAAATATCCCCTAGAAAAGGCACAAGTCTCCATTTCGAGTTTGCCCCATTCGGTGAAAAATATTTTTAGTTTCGTTTTATCATTTTTCACTGGCACTGCCCAGGAGCAGCCAAAAACTGGGAAGTTTTCCGTAGCGTAATCTGTGGCAGATTAATCGCCTAGTCTTGGCAGCTTCCGTGCAGTAGCCAGCGAGGAACTAATAAAAAATATCACCGAGACCAACTCGAAAGGTATAACTCGTAGTCACTCCCGGGCAAACATCTACATGTTTTGTTTTTTTTTAAAGTTAGCAAGTTTAAAATCTGTTAGGTACCTTAGCGATTGTAGTTGGCGCGGGATCATGATACCAAATATCCCCAAAAAACTTAGCGATTATTTTAGCACACGTACAGAAATCTTAAATAAGATTGCATAACAACAGTTTGGAAATATTATAGAGAGAGTTTAAGGACGATGTCAACCTTCTTCCACCAAAAGGTAACTCTAGATACAATCAAGTTAACATTTCTTTTATACTAGTGAATTAGTAATTAATATTTATAGTGGTAGTTACGTCACATTATTCTTGAATTTCATAATTATCATATATGAATAGTATACAAAATCGAGATTCAAATATACATTTTATCTACGATATGAACATCAGTATAAAGTAAAGATAGTAAAAATAATACATAATATTCATACTCTATAATAATAAATAGCAGCGTCATAATTCTTTTGCTGCTCAAATTCAATGGCTCGATTGACAAATTCAACCGCATCTGCTTCTGCTTTTTGACATTCTTCTGTCATTATGTTAGAATAATGCGATGAATACAGCAATAGATAACTAAAAAGTTTATTTTAAATAGTTCATGAGAATTTAAAACACATTACATTGCAAAACAATAAAAGAACTTAATATTAACAGATTTATTTATAAATACTTTCATTTCTTTTTATATCGTATAGTTTCACTTTTATAAATATAAACATTAGTTTTGCAGTTTCAGTTACAATCTTATAAACACGGTTAAGAGTAAATTGTTACTATTAAACTTCAGATTATTAAAAAAAATTTATTCGTAATGCTATATTGATTAGAATTGTTCAAAATAGATTGCTACAAATTGTATTTCTCTTAAAATGTATGTCTTAGTCATTCGCCTCTCAAATTAGCAAAAATATTAAGACATGTTATTCAAACAACTAGTTTGGCAACATATCAGCTAATTTGGTGTTTTGGTAAATCGATCTGGATTTAAATGTCCATCAGATGTTGATCTGATGTGCTACGGGGATGTGGAAGATTACAGTTTCTTAAATAAAGTTATTCTTTATAAACTAAACATTTTTACATATTAAACTATGGAAATCAATCTTCTTTTAGTTTCGTTCTTTTTATTGCTTGCTACTAATGGGCAATATTCTGTCAATTTGAACTGATATTTGATAATTTTAGTTTGACAGATGCTAATAAATAAAACTTTGAATTTGCAAGACATGAAATATTTTCATTTAATATTCTTTCAGTTTTTACGTATTACATAAATTACGTTCTCATTGCATTTATGGAATTTTTTTTTATCTCGTAAAAATGATTGGAACTCTACTTATTAAGTTTGTACGTAGTATCAGCTGTTAAAGTTGGCGGGATCAAAAGTGTACAGATCAAGTTTTAGGAGGAGACTGGAAGATTGGAAGAAACAGAGAAGTAAAAAGAAAAGAAAATCTTTTGTGGAAGAAAATACAATTAAGTAAGTAAAAAAAAATAATTCAAACTTCATCTAAAATATACCAAAATTATAAATTCAGTAAAATTAAGTTTAAAATTTTGATGATTTTAGCTTTGGAATAGTTGTATATTATTTTTTCCTAAATTGTAAAATTACTATTCAAATACGCAAACATAAAGCTCTTTTTTTAAGCAGACTGAATTTTATTTAATTTTTTGATTTTAAAAATTGTTATATATTGTTAAAAACTTTTATTGATTTTAAAAATTGTTTAAATATGATAACTTTAGTTATAAATTCTACAAAATTTAATCTGTTGAAGAAATAAAATAAATTTTAAAAAATTTGGTTTATGAAACTGGCGGGTTTATACTTAAACTTTACATGTCACACACAAAACTACCATGATAAACTTCTAAATTTTATTGACTAATAATTTCGCTATATGGTTGTTATATTATGTAAATAATTTGCTCTATTTTTTTTCTTTTTTACATTCTTTACTTCACATAGTTCAAAACAAAACTTTCTTCATTATCAACTCATTTTCTATTACTTTTAAGGGAATCCATCTATATTCACTTTAGAAATACTGCTATTGAGGCAAAGTTTTATGCAAATCAGCTCGACTACATGTTAATTCAAAAATTAGTGTGGAAATATTGATGCTCTTACAATATTTTTGTTAAATAGTATTACAAAATCTTAAATCATTAAGTTTTCACTCATTGACTAGCTTTTTATATTAGACTACCAAACTATATCTAAAATTTAATGAAAAGTAAGTTTTTTCTGCATAAATCACAAATTTATAAAGAAAAAAAGTGCACATACAAACCACATACATGTGTGCTATCTTGATCTGATAATTTTAAGCCTCGGTCCTTTATTGTTTTCTTGTAGGAAATATTTCTAAAAATAATAGGTATCTTGATTTCTCAGCAACTGATTATGCTTTTTAATAAAAAAAAAATTTACTTGATGCAGATATATTTTTAGACTTTTATTCTGTTTACTTGCTTAAATCTATCATAAATATTTTGATTTCAAATGTTATTAGAAATTTATTGTATTTAATGACTATAGAAAGTACAAGATAAATGATAAATTTTTAAAAAAAATAGTATTCATTTAATCTTGAGAAGAGAAAACATTTTTTCCTTAAGTGAGTAATTTTTCAGAATATTTTCAAATTTTGACTTATATAATTTCAATTTTTAAAATTATGTCATCATAAAAGATTTTGAATTAAGTTTACATTTCAATTTAACAATGTATTAAGTTATTTTCCTGCTAAACACCATTTTCCCTTTCAATAACATAAAAAAAAACAATTTTTTTTTTTTTTTTTTTTTAAATGCAAAAAAAGTTTTCATCTAAAAGTTCAAGAAGAAGAGAAAAATAAGAATGATGGGCTAATGCACAGAGGGTTAATTCAATAAGATAGATTCTGTTCTTCACTCTTTTTCTCAGCAGAAAAATGTAGTTCTATTTCTCTTTTTTAAGCTATTTATTTCTTGTGCTTTTATTAAAGATCAATTATGTTATTATTATTAAATATCAAAAAATTCTAGCTATAGTCTAATTCTTCCCAAGAACTTAGAAAAATATTTGGAATGACTGCTTGCAATCCTGTAAACTTTGTCTTCAGTTCCAATTTAATTTTAATGTCTTTAATTTATTTTCAAATACTGTACAAAAAGTGTTCAATTTACCTTTTATTGTTCCTAGTTTGCATCTGTGCAAACATGTCTACTTAATTGGTCTCAGTTCAGTTATTTATTAAGTCTGAATTTTTATTTTAAATTTATTAGAAATGTAAGAAAATGTTCTTGTTTTAAATTTAGTTATAGGTAAATTTTAAAACTTTGTGTAACAAACAAAACCCCTTTATTACTGGATATTCCTTGAAATTTTATAAGTAATATGAAAATTTAATTTAAATTGAAAATACTTTTTAAACATCTTCTTTTTATTATGCTATGTAAGTTAAGTTTAAATCTGAAATTATACTTTCACTTTCGAAACAGATAAAATGTTTTTGCTACTAGTCTATTTGTACCAAAATTTGTTTCGTAACTAAATAAAGTAGTAGTAAAATCCAAACAAAATTTTAAATTGAAGACAATTGTTGCATGATATTAAAGCATAGAAAAATTTGACTTTAATATTTTCTATTGGAAATATTTTAAAATTAGCTTTTACGTTGTTTACAATTTAGTGTAGTAAAATAATTTACTACCCACAAATTGTTCTGTTATTTCTTATTTTTTGGAAAATAAAATTTGAAAACTAGAAAATGATTAAAAAATTTATCCAGTTATAAATTGTTTACTTAAAACAAAAAAGTTCTATTTTTCTCACTTTAAAATCATTTCTAATAAAAATGGTGTATCAAGATGCTTTTTGAGTTACAAAATGTAATATTTAGACATAATATAAATTTTCCTATGATAATTTAATGCTTTAAAGTAATGACACTTATGACGTAAATGACAACAGTATAAGTATTAGCTCTATTGTGTTATAAATGAAGCTAAACAATATTTTAAAAAAAAGCACAAATAATCTCGTTTTAAGTCATTTGTGACATTATTTCTGCTTATTTCACATTGTATAGATTTATTTATGTAAATGACTGATTTAACCCTTTCTTTTCTTAGATGTGTGTATTATATTTTAAATAGTAGTGTTTTCACATATTTTTGAATTAGATAATTCTTATATGCTGTATTCTAATAATAAGCTGACCAATGTCCACCTGAAACTAAAAAATTAGTAAAATTTCTTTACATATATTCAAAAATTCACCACTTTACCTTTGTAATATAATATTGAATGAACAGAAATCTATCGCAGTGCTTCTCTAATGTAAATAGTTTTTTTTTTTTTTTTTAATTATTAGAAGGAGGCGAGTATTCGAATGAGTGGAGGCGAGTATTCGAAAAAGTTACATTATAATTTAAAACTATGAATGTGTTAGTAAAGTATATCTCATTGGTAAATCATAAAATATTGAAACACAATTCGAAAATTCACAATTTATAATATTATTTACACAGAAAAAAAAAAAATTTTGAACAGTTGTTTGAAAAATTTATAAAAACTGAAGTTTTTTTTCAACATATCTTTCCTTGAAAAACGCAACTGTAAAGTTTTCTTTTTCGTATATATTAACCTATCACTTTAGTTTAAACATCTGTTTCGATGGAAAACATGACTGTAAAGTTTTCGTATAAGTCTTCAAAATGTTTTTAAATTGTGGGAGTGAAGTGAAACCTTTTTTTCACTGCAATGATTGTAACTATGCAGTGTTGACACTTTTACAGAAACTTGAGCTAATAACGTAACGTATGTTTTTAACATATATATCTCTTTATTTTTCTCATAAGTAACTATCAAAACAGTTTTGTTTCCGTATCATTCAGCAAAGAGTTTTGAAGAGTAGAAACTGAAGCTTGTTTTCACCGCAGTCAATGTGACTATGCAGAGTAAACACTTTTACAGAAACTTGAGCTAATAACGTAACGTATGTTTTTAACATATAGTATATCTCTTTATTTTTCTCATAAGTAACTATCAAAACAGTTTTGTTTCCGTATCATTCAGCAAGGAGTTTTGAAGAGTAGAAACTGAAGCTTGTTTTCACTGCAGTCAATGTGACTATGCAGAGTAAACACTTTTACAGAAACTTGAGCTAATAACGTAACGTATGTTTTTAACATATATGTCTCTTTATTTTTCTCATAAGTAACTATCAAAACAGTTTTGTTTCCGTATTATTCAGCAAAGAGTTTTGAAGAGTAGAAACTGAAGCTTGTTTTCACCGCAGTCAATGTGACCATGCAGAGTAAACACTTTTACAGAAACTTAAACTAATTACGTAAAAATCTGTAACATCTAACAACATCTGTGGAAATTGTAGGTTTAGTTTTTAGATATCTCTTAATGTAAAACGTCACTGTTAAGCTTACTTATGTTTTTAACATATATATATTTCTTTATTTTTCTAAGTCTCAATCGAAACCGTTTTATAAAGTTTTTGTTTCCGTATCATTCAGCAAACATTTTTGAAGAGGTAGAACTGAAGCTTGCTTTCACCGCAGACTCTGCAGAGTAAACACTTTTACAGAAACTTGTAACAGTTTATAACTTGTGTAAAATGTAAGTTTTTTTTACATATCTCTCAATTAAAAATGTCACTGTAAAGTTTACGCATAATTTTAACATATCATTTTAGTTTTCTCATATGCCTCAATAAAAAAAATACAAAAAAAAGTTGTTTTTTTTCCGTTGTGTAGTTTAGCAAACCATATTAAAATGAAAAACTTAGCTTATAACTCTTGTAAAAATTGAAGAATTTACATATTTCTTAATGGATAAAGTCCCTTTGAAGTTTTCGTATAAATTTAACATATCTTTTTCAGTTTTCGCATATGTTTCCATAGACAATGTTTTATAAGGGTTTTTTTTTCACCGTGTTCAGCAAACCGTTTTGAAAGGGGAAACTAAGGCTTGCTTTCACCGCAGTAACGTAGTTCTATGCAGAATAACCATTTTTACAGAAACTTTAGCTTATATACGTTGTAAAGATTGTAGGTTATACATACACTGAATTGGAACATCACATTGAAGTTTTTGTATAATTTTAACATATTTTTTTCAGTTTTCGCATTTTTCTCAATAGAAAATATTTTGCAAAACTTTTTTTTCTTCTATGTAATTCAGCTAACCGTTTTTTAAAAAGATACAAAAGCTAGCTTTTACAGCAGTCAGTGTAGCTATGCAGAGACCATGCACTTTTACAGAAACTTTAGTTTCTGACTTTTTTAAAAATAGTAAGATTAAAAATAAGATTTTTACAATTCTCTCTTAATTGAAAAGGTGACTTCGAAGTTTTCGCATAATTTTAATATAACTCTTTAGTTTCCACATATCTTTCAATAGAAAATTTTTTGTATAGTTTTTGTTTCCGCATGATTCAGCAAACAGTTTTAAAGGGAAATACTAAATCTTGCTTTTACCTCAGTGAGTGTTTATATAGATAATAAATATTTTCACAGAAACTACAACATATATTGTAGGTTTTTTTAATTGAATTGAAAATGTATCAATAGTTTTCGTGTAATTTTAACATATGCCTGTATTTTTTACGTATTTCTCAGTAAAAAACGTCACTGTAAAGTTTTCGTATGATTCGAGAAACTGGTTTGAAGAAGGAAGGTGAACTGAAGTCTTCATTCAGCGTGATGATTCTAACTATGCAGCGTAGACACTTTTACAGAAACTTGAGCTAATAAGGTAGAACGCTGTATCATTTAACAACATCTGTACAAAGTTTAGGTTTAGTTTTAATATATTTCTCAATTTAAAATGTCACTGCAAAATTTTAACATACACTTCTCTGTAGTTTTCGCGTATGTCTCAATCGAAAATATTTTGTAAAATATTTGTGGCCCGCAGTGGACTGATCGTTAAGACACGGTTCCCAGCAGATCACCGAAGTCAAGCATCACTGGCTGCGGTCAGTGTGCGGGTGGGTGACCACTTGGATCAGTCTGCGTAGAGACCGAGGGTGTGCGGTATTGGTCCTCGTGAAACTGTTCTATCGTAAAGTGTTCGACTTCGCGTGCAGGTCGTCGGGCTACCTTAGCGAGGGGGGGGGGCGTCCCCTCTGCAGAGGATCAAAATTCTGATGGCATGTCTTCGGATCATCCTCAGGGATGTTTCCCAGACCTTCGCCAATAGCCCATTGTGCAGCTCTAGTGCGACGTAAATGAAAGTATATATGTTTTCACTGCTATGAGTGTATCACAACAATGAAAACCAATTATAGAAGCTTTAAATGATAACGTAGTGTGTAATGTCTGATCGCTTGTAATGTACGTTCTACGAATCAACTGGGGGTTTTTTTTTATCATTATTCTGTTTATGCTCTAAAACAGTGTTTCCCAAACTTATGACTTTTGTGTACCCTTTCTAAATTTTTCGTAACGCTGTGTACCACTAATAAAAAAATTAATGTACTTTTTACTATAAAATAACTGCACAAAAGTTAAAAATCACAACTGGCTGTTGACATCACTAAATATTAACTGTTAACTTTGCAAAAAATAGCCAATAGAAAAATACGCAATCGTAAATTTTCATGGCTAGCTTCGTTTTTAAATAAAATGTTTTGAAATTTTCGTTTTTTTGCCAGACATTTCGCATAAGAACGTGTACCCCCACTAAACTTTTCCCGTACCCCTGGGGGTACGCGTACCACACTTTGGGAAACACTGCTCTAAAACATAGACGTTAATTTAATGTATTTTTTTAAATACGATCTTCGCTTGAATTGACATAAATGTTATGTTACTCTCACCATAATTTAGATTATTTATTATTGAGAAATTCCATTTGAAAGCAAGAAAAAACAAAGAGCGTCGAGATATTCTCTATAAAAAGCTCTAAAAGTATTAATTTTCATTTAAAAATAATTTCAGTTGATCGATATGCAATGTGATCATTACAAATTAAGCTAGTCAAAAATTTGGTACTCGAATTCAAAATTCTTGTGTTGTAAATGTAGCGTATCAAAAATATCGGTATTTAAAATACTACTTAAAAATGATTGAAAACTCGATAGGAAAAACTTGTGAACTACCAATTTTGTTTTTAGTTTTATTTTGTATTTTATTTTATTTTTTTAATATGTTGGGGTTGTGTAATCAGGATTAGGAGGTATTTGGGGTGGGAACTTTTTTTACCGAAAAGTAAAACAGTGCGGTACGCCTCACATTTCTGCCTAGAATGAGCTTTGCATCATGTAACATGGTGCGTAGCGTTTTTAAAAAGTGCTTAAAGGTGCTTGTTTTCGTTTTTTAAAAGCCCTTAAAGGTGCTTTTTTCATTGGGCGTTTTTAAAAAGTGCTTAATTTTCCTTTTTCGAAAATGACATTTTTTTCTTTACGATGTTGATTTTCGCCACGTATTATGCAAAAGCGTGCTTTTCCACAATCCATTTCGGCGTAATGTAGGTCCATAGCGTATGAAAGCGCCAATCATTTTAATCCCTTGTGCAACTTTGTTGCATTTTGCAAGATATTCTCAATTTCAGGTTTTATTTACCACCCTCTGTTATCGGACCGAAAAATTTCTTGATCATTTTAAAATGGCTAATATAATCACGAAAAGAGTTCTTTGTCAGAAACTAGTTATTTTTATCGTGACCTTGTAAAGTCTTTGAAAATTATTTTGCATTTTGTTAATGCATATAGTGCTTAAAAATATTTGAGTGCTTAAAAGGTGTTTATTTTTTGTTGAAAGATTTGGCTACGCACCCTGTGTAAAATTTCGACTTTTCTTTTACTTTGCGTTTTGTTTTATCGAAGCATTCTAATTAGGATGTTATTATTTATTTCTAGACTATTATTCAGTCATTATTTTTGTATGTAAGGGTTTCTGAAGCTACTATTTTGAAACGCTAAATCCAGTGGAGACTCTGGAATGGCAAAGACCTCATAAAAACACTCTCACCACAACCTAGATTATTTAATACTGAAAAAATGCACTCTGGAAACCAAAACAAAAACATAGGCAACTAAAAAATTTTTAAATTTTCTGCAAAACTCATGCGAAGTGTGAGTTTTTAGTTTTTAAAAAATATTAGTCATCACTTTGAGCAAATTTATTCAACTGCTTGCTTAAAACCTTTAAATAACAGATTGATTGTGTTATCGAATAAGCAACTTCGATAAAGTAATGAAGCGATTGAGTATTTTTATTTGCTTTTCTTTCATTGTGCTACTTTCTTGTTGATATAAAACAATATATCTGATAAAATGGCCAGCGCAATATTTAATTTTCGTTCCAGTATTTATTTTAACTCAATATGACTGATTGATATTTCCTTTCTTCTTAACTTCTTGTGTACACTTAAAAATGTATCTATTTTTCTTTTTCAATTATTTTTGAGGCAAGCTATAAAATTTTTGTTACGAAAAAAATTTATTGACTGTTGTAATCTCTTCGTCGGTCTACAGTTTTTGTTAAATTTATTACAAAGAATTTTTTCAAAATTAATATTTTTATATAAAAAAATTCCTATTAAACAATAATAAAAAAAATTTGAGTATTTTATTGTTAAAAACATTTCTTTTTGTGAGTACAATTTAAATAGCTCAAATATATATAATAAAAATTATTTTTATCAATAAATTTTATAATTGTGTACTAAAAAAAATTGATAATCGTTGTCACCAACCAGTGAAGTATGATTACTTATCTTTATCAATAGTGTCTAAAGAAATAGGAGTCAAATGCCGGTTTTGTAAATAGCTTTCTTTTATCTTTTACTACATTCATTGAATATAAAGAATTAAAAGCTGTAAATTGGATTTGGAATTGCGTTTTGAGATTTGATGCAATTTCACTAATTGCTCGTTGTCTTTTGTTATTAAAAATTTATCCAAGCTCAGAGGAAGACGTGCACAGTGTTTGAATCATGAGTAGCATTTTTACTGGAGGAAGGATATTCTTTTCAGAACTCTGGAAAAAATTTAGAAAAAACTTGAATAAACTGAACAAAATGGAAGAAACTGAAACTTATGCAAGAGTTTAGAATTTTTGTTTTAAAATTATCCTATAGCTCATAGGTTCTCAACCTTTTGAACGTTGCCGCCCCCTTAAGGAGCAAAAAATATTTCAACGCCCCCCTTTATAAAAATCCTGTTATTTTGAGCATGGGGACGGAGGGATGTGTGCTGAATTATAAGAGGCAAATTTTTTAAGCAATTATTTTACGCTTTGAATTTGTTTGGTTTTTTAAAAAAGAATAAATTAACTCCATAATTTTCTCACGGCAGGTAATCGCCGTCTATTTGTTATGATCAAAATAAATACGTTTAATGAAAAAAAATATACAACTAAGAAACCTATGCTTAAAAAGAATAATTTATTCTAAATTAGATAATTAAAATAACACCCAAAATAATTTTGTTACACTAAAAAGTAGTATCAACGAAACATTCAAGTAACTATGTTAGTGGGATGATTGTACTTAATGGTTCAGAACCAATTCCTTAACGCTCGGTTCAATACTTTTAGTGAGATGAAGATGCAAATACCCACGTTTGCACAATTTCGAGTCGATTTCTTCTTTTTAAGACAAGATCCGTAACAGCACTGAATCCACATTCGATAAGTTAGGAGGCAGGGAAAGCAATTAAAAAATTTTTAACGATAGTCTACAGTCCAAGATAGAGACGACTGTTACCTTTAACACTAGATTGCCCATGGAAGTCATTTTGACTGCTTTTTAATTTCAATTAGAAAAACAATGATAACACAATTTCTTAGAATTTTGTGACTTTTTGTACAACATATAATTTTTTTATTGTTAATATTTACAAATAACTTGTTATATAACTGAAAATAATAACAAAAATATTAAATTTTATTTTAAACAAATTTCTTTATACATTAGTTATGCTTTCTTTATTCATTAGTTATTCTATGCAGTCATTTTGACTGCTTTTGAGCAATATAGGTATTTCAGTCTTTTTAGTGTTAAGTAAAAATTCTGTGAGACGATCACCATTTCAAAGTTTCATTAGTTAAAAGTTCGACCAATTCCTCGTAAATCTGAACCTCTGCTGTTTCAATATTTACAAAAGGGTTCATAAACCCATTGAGGGACTTCGAGGGAACAAAACATCTTTAAAATGGTCAGAAAAGTCCATGTGCAAAGAGTCAAGGTGTTGACAATATTCTTGTGCATGTGCATCATCAGAGAGAATTTTGCCTGCATGGCTGAACTCATTCCAACCAAAATTCTGCTAAAACAAAATCAGTTTTTTTAGAAAGGCGAAAATAACTTATTTTGTAGGGATCGAATTGAGCTCGTCGCCTTGAAGTTGTAAATTAATGCCATTAAATTTTACAGATAAATCAGCCAAAGTCTTTCTTAAATTCTAGCAATCTGTCTCTTAGAGCTACATTTCTGTTTTCGAGGAACTCAAGCACAGAGTCGAAAAGATTCCAATACCTATTGAGACAGAAGCTTTTGGAAAGTCAGTGAATCTCGGTGTATATTGCAAGCGATTGAATTCTTCATCGTTTTTCTTACACAGTTGTCTAAATAATCGATCTTAGAGAGCATTACTGTGAATTTTGTTCACAGCAGATACGGCATATTGCAATGATTGATGCAAACGGTCACTGAGATTTTTTCTTACTAAATACTGTCTGTGAATCACGCAGTGAACAGCTAAAATATCTGGTACCTCCCTTTCCAAAAGGGCGATAAACTCACGATGTCGACCCACCATTGCAGGAGCCTATCAGTGGCAATGGACATAATATTCGCAAGAGGAATGTTTTTCTCTTTAAAATAATCTTTGACAGTACTAAAAATAGATTTACCTTTGATATCTACAATCAAGCTTCCTGCAAAAAGCATATCTTGAATAATTTTCCCTTCCTTTACAAACCGGACCTATGCCTACAGTAAAGCCTGCATTACCTGGCAAGGTAGATTCATCAACTTGAAGGGAAAATTCGTTGGACATCAAAAGTTTGCATAAAGAAATTTCAACGTCTTCACCCATCTCATCATTTCGTCGCCGCACTGAATCGTTGCTTATGGGATAGTTTTTTATTACATTGGATGATGTAAAACTGTTTCTAAAACTTCCTTGACAACCGGCAGTATCAACTCTACTCCGATGGTTTGAGCTTTCCCAGATTTAGCAATAAATTTTGATATATTATAAGAAGCGATCAAACCATCGTCGCATTTTTGTGATGACGTTACTAGTAACCCTGAGACCGAAGGTGCCTTCAGAAACGTGAAAAAAGACGTTCGTCAAAAATGACAAATCTATATCTAGTTTTTTGCAAATGCTCTTGCTAACGGTAAGATTTCCTTACCTCATTAGATAAAACTTTATTACAAAGTAAACACATAGGTAATTGAGAGTTCAACAGTAATTGAACAAATCCCAACTTCAAGTACGTGACACTTTACTGATGACACTTCTTTTTGTCAACCGACATTGTTGGTGTCAGCAAAATACAAACGATGAAAGAAAATCAACTATTTCTCAAAATTAATAAATAATTTATGATACTATAAAGAACTAATTCGCGTACGTACCTGCCCAAATAAACTATGAGATCTAATCGAAACTGGAGGAAAAACCGCAAAAAAGCTAACGAAAGCCATTATAAGAAACACGGGTCCGATCAAACATTCATACTGAAAGCGCATGTACTGCAATTTCCAATAAATGGCTTGAATGAGTCAGAGGCAAAAACTACTGGCTCATACGCTGAGCTGTGTTGGTTCAGATCGAAGAATAGGTGTCGTATAAATTCGTTTTATTGATGTTTCAAATAATGTATAGGATAATCTTTATTTATTATATTAATTTAATCTTTTTTTCTTTATTAAAAATTTTTTTATTAAATTAATCTTAATTTAATAATTTTATTTGTAAGTTTTAAAATTAAATTTGAATGACAAAGCATGCTTAACGCCCCCTACCGCCCAAAACATACCCAACGCCCCGCTACTGCCCAAAACAAGTTCACCGCCCCTCAGCATAGTTCCCACCGCCCCCGTTGAGAACCAATGCTATAGCTAAAACAAATGTTAAAACACGTGTGTCTAAAATGATTTTGTTTTAATTTGTATAAGTATTTCAGTTAAGTTTTATATTTTAAATTTCGATCATTTAACTTACACTGTACTTGAATGCTCACATAGGAGGTAAGATAATAAATTTTAGGTATTTAAAAGGTTTATTTTTAAATACGCAAGTAAACTACAATATATTTAATCTATCTAGATCATTTATAAACAGCTTTAAGAAGAAGAAAAAAAAATTCTGTTTGGTACCTAAAAACCAAATGTAAGATATTTAACACTAGAAAGACTGAAACTTAGTATACATCTATCTATACTGTTCAAAAGGAGTCACAATGACTGGAATAAAAAATGCGTAAAGAAATTTATTGAAAATTAATTTTTAATATTTTTTATATTATTTACAGTTAAATAACAAGTTATTAGTAAATATTAACAGTAAAAAAATTATATGTTATACAAAATTCTAAGAAACTGTGCCATTATATACATCATTATTTTTCTAATTGAAATTAAAAGCAGTCAAAATGACTTCCTTAGGCAATCTAGTGTTAAATCCTTCTCCCTCTTAAACACTCTTGTTCCTCTAATTATATTTGCTGATAAGCACATGTTTTTAATTGTTTGGATGGTATTGGATAACTTTATATATATCTAATTTTTTTTTATCATGTAAATCAATCTTATACATTCCACTATACTTATGCATTTTTTTGTATATTTTTCTCACTTGCAGAGGGATGTGGTCTAATGTTCAACTGACAAATGGTTGTCCAGCTCCTACCTCTAGGTCTAAGCATGCAATGTGTGTCTCCCAAGAGGGTTTTATTTATCTTCTAGGAGGCCGCAGCGCAAATCTACCGTTAAAAGATCTATGGAAGTTTGACCCAGGTATGCATTTCAGACTTTTTAGTTTTGTGTGTAATGGTTAGGTGGGATTTTTTTTTTAAATTTTTCCTTACTGAAAAGAATTAGCCATATAACTTGAACTTTTGTTCTTATAAATAGCCGAATTTATAAATTCGGTGTTTATAAATGCAAATAACCTGTGTGTGAAATGGGGAAATGAACGAACGTATAACACACAAGCGAAAATAACTTCCCAGTGTCAGCTTCTCTTTTTGGCTCCATGTTAATTTTTACAATTTACATGTTAATTATACAATTATAATAAGCAGAACTTCAAAAAGTTGTTTTTATAAATAGTTATTAAATAACTTTAGAGGCTTCAGTTGTCATCACCAACTTTCACGCATAAATGCAATAAATTTAACACCAGCACTCTACTAGTATCATTTTTCTAGTAGATTTGATATTTTACAGCAAATATTGAAATTCTTATTTGGAAAATAAAAGGCTGAAAATTGCAATTAGTGTTTGTTTTTTTTAGCTGTAAAATATAAAATAATAGTTTAATCAACTAAACCTTAGTCTATTTTCTAAACATACGTATAGAAAACATTCCTGCGAAATTTTAAGTAATTTAAACTGAAATATTTTGAAGTATGGCATTTGAAATAAAGGAAAATAACCGAAAAATTAGATTTAAGGAAAAAGATAAGAAAAAAAAGGCACAATTATCAACGTAATAACCAAAATAAATGATATTTTAAATCATCGTAACATCTGTTTGATTTGACGTAGACATAAAACTTAAACAATTTTAGAAAGAGAAAAGTTTATAGTTTTATTTTAAGCAAAAAACAGGAGAAAAAAATTTTGAGTCATTTGTTTCTTAAAAAAATGTGTGTTCTCACCTACATATTTCGACACTCATTTGTTGCTAACTCATACATGAGTCATCTAATTCCGTGATGAGAACCTCATCCCCCCCCCTCCCTTTCACTCCTATACTCGTACTTAATTTCCTATTCAATGTTGGAACTGCATTTCAATCACCTGATGAGCGTGATGGGTTAAGTGAAGCTTGTTACTGCACGCTACCTATATACCATATTGTATCCGGCAACCTTGAATTATTTTTTTATGTATAATATATAATAACTTAACACTTTTCATTAATGCTATGAGCTTTAATTATCCTCCGCTTATATATACATTTTTAGTTTCTGTAAAGATTTGATTATTGTAAAAGATATTTTTTGACGTTTGTCTTAATTTTATTTTAAAATCAGAAATACGCCGACCTTTATATATTATGAAATTCCTCAATTGCTTTCAATGTAATCAAAAAAATGTAGATTCTATTAGTTATGAGAAGGAAGGCAGTTAAAATTGCCCCTTTCCCCTTTTTTTTTTTTTTTTTTTTTTTTTTTTTTTTTTTTTTTTTTTTTAAATTNTTTTTTTTTTTTTTTTTTTTTTTTTGTTGTTGTTGTTGTTGCTATGGTTTACTTCTCCAGTATTTATTTAATTCCATTTATAATATTTAGAGCATAATATTTCGAAAAGAAAAAAAAACTTTTAACAAAAAGTTTGGAAAGGTTATGCAACTGTTATGCAAAAATCGGGTCGTCAAATCAAAATTTATCTAGTGCATTTTTAAAGAAACAAATTTCAAACTCAACTAATTTTTCAAATCTGATTGGTATAAATCTTCGTAGGTATTTTCTTTTCAATGGGCGTATTTTTTTCTGAATAAACATATCTCTTTTTCGACGGATCCGAATTTTTGACTCAAAAATATAGAGCAATCGCAATCTTGGAAATATGATCAGAATAGTTTCGTCAGCTGAGTGGTCCAAAATTTGGAGCCCCTTAATGTTAATTTTATTTTTTTACTTATATCTTGAGAACTTTCCGAGCGAATTTTAAAAAAAAAAATTATAAATTTATTTATCTAAAGATAATTCCACACAAAGAAATTATAGTAAATATTTTTTATTTTGTTTAATAATAGTCAAAAATATTTTGAATTGTAAGTTATACAATATTTTACATAATTTTAAGGAATATACTTTTACATGGCAAAATACAAAATTTGAGCGTAATCGGTCGAATAGTTCATGAGAAATCGAATTTTAAAATAATGCTTTTTTAACTTAATTTCAATTCGCTTCATTTCCTAACTTAAAACATCTACACTAATTAATCAGCGTATTAAGCCCTCCTAAACCCCCCTAGAGCCATGCCTCATCCGGGATTCGACCCCGAGACCTTTCTGTAATGATGTCAGCTCCCTAACCACCTTACAGCCAATCGGAATTTTTTTTCTTTTGATTGCAACTAAAGCGTGAGAGAGAAAAAAAATAATGTATAAAAAGGGATTCCGGTGTCCCATCTGCTTCAAAGGGTTATTATAAAGCCGTTGTAGCTCAGAGGCGGCTTCCACTGAGGTGAACCTGGTTCAACCCGCACCCAACTCGCACCGACCACTATGCTGATGTAAAATATCCTCCACTCGTAGACGGATCATACGTTAGAGTCTCCATCCCGTCAGGATAACTGTGGGAGATCTTCCTCTCCATATAAGGCAAATGCGGGTTAGTTCCATCAAAAAGTCCTCCACGTAGGCAAATTTCACCCAATGCTTGATCCAGGAGTTACCTTGTCTTCTGGAATAGGTTCGAAATTACAAGCCTGCGGAGTTGAACATTAATAGTCGTATCGGTTGTTCAACGACGGTTATAAAGGGTTATAACTTTTATTCGTATTGAAAACGTAGGCAATCATAAAACAAAGAAGTGGTTCATAAATCTACCAAAAGTTTTTTAGCTGAAATAATGCATAAAAATTGCTTAGAAAACAGTTAAGTTATCCATTAAGTAGTCCATTATTTTTTTTTAAATTTATTTTCTTGTTCAATTTATTTCTTAATGCTAATCTAAATATTCATCATTGATAGGATGTCTTCCGCGAGACAAAAACTGCCGTTTCTGAAACTCGCTAAAATGGATGATCCCCTTATTATGTTCTCGTTTATTCTTTTGGTGGGTAATTTGGCTCAATTTGAAAAGCGATTCATTCGGAAGCCATTTATTCTGTTTTAAGCGGAGTTTTGAAGGGTGGGTGTATGTATAGTATCTGTAAATTGATATTTCTGTTTCAGTCATGTGTTTTTGATGGATGATGCCGAAAAATATCGTTTTATTTATGTTTCAAAACTTTTTTTTACGGTTTTAACAGGCGTTTTTTAATGTAACTTATTCGAACAATTGATTTATTAGGACACTTGCAGATTCTTTTTACTTCAAAACGAATTATGCATTTGTTCCTGTTTGGCAAAATTTTAAAATGAAAAAAAATATATATAATAAATTTATTTTATGTGTATTTTTTTATTATTTTATATTATAACCGTCGTTGAGCAGCCGACCCAACATTGAGTTTACGACTGCCAATATTCAACTCCGTAGCCTTGTAGTTTTGAATCCTAACCAGAAGACAAGGGAACTCCTGGATCAAGTATTGGAAAATATTTTCCTTCTTGGAGGACTTTTTGGTGGAACTAATCGTCATTCTCGTTACATAGAGAGGAAAATCTCCCGCAGTTATTCTGACGGGAAGGGGACTCAAAACCATGATCAGTCTATCACTGAGGATATTTTACGTCAGTACTGTGGTCAGCGCGAGTCGGGTGCAGAATTCGTATCGACCAGCTATCACTGGGATTCGAACGTGGGTCACCTCAGTGGTACGTGAACGCTCTATCTTCTTAGCCACAGCGGTCTTATAAATTTGTTTAAAAAAATATTTTTGATAAATTGAAAATATAAAAACCCCTTATTCATATTTCTTTTTCGGATTACATTTATAATCCGGCAGGGAATATATTACATGTGGTTTAACAAAAAGACTGCGAACAAGATTTGACTTCAGAAAATTGAAACTCTCTATTTAAATTTTTAAAGATTCAATAGAAAATTAAAGGTATTATACCCAAATTTCTTATAAAGGGTGTCCCAAAATTAACGCAAGATTTGAATTTGCCACCATTTTTGCAGTAAATTGTTGGCAAATCTGAAAAAGAGCAATTTCACAGCTGAGAGTTTAAGGTTAGTAAAAATGGAGTGTTCGAGTCAGTGCCACATGCCATACATTTCCTAGTCGTGTATTCTCTCGTTTTGGTGGTCAGAATTGGCCCCCTAGATCGTGTGACTTAACCCCATTTGATTTCTTCTTATGGGGCTATTTAAAATCAGAGAACTATGTCAACAAGCTCACAACCACCTGTGCATTACAAAAGGAAATTGAACGCTGCATCAACGAAATACAGAAAGGTCATGAAAAATTTCGACAAAAGAGCGCGTATGTGCCAGCGAAGCCATGGAGGCCATTTGCCCGTTGTGTTATTCCATGATAACGTAATAATAGATCCTTTTATATCTCTCAAACAAACTAAGAATCCCTTTAAGCATGTTCCATTTTCAATAATTTCTGAAAACTGATGAATTTTTGAAGATAAGCATAAATTTTGAATTGCTACTTCATTTACAAAAATTTCCATGAATAAACGTATCCTGTGTACTTTATGATGCAATGAAAAAATAACAATCTAGAGATTAAAAACTGTGTTTAATTTAAACCTTGCGTTAATTTTGGGACACGCTTTGCATCATTAAATGAAATTTTATAGAGAAAACCTACAAATTTATATATAAAAGCAAAATGTTCAATTTTCATATCTTTGGATAACATCATACAGAATTCATTTTATTTACTTTCTTTCCTCTTTTTAAATGCGTACACCTATTGCTTTTTCCAACTGTACTACCTCTCTGCACATTTTATTCCCTCAACGTATGTAGCCGATTTGACTACTTCAATATTCACTCAATTCACTTCGATACTCCAAAAATCTTTTTTTTTCTTTTTTTACTGTGTTTAGAAACCCTTACCTTAAAAATTAAAACCAAATCATTTTAAGTTAAGAATAGAGATCCAATCAATATTTTTAACCAATCCTGAATTAAAAAGGGGAGCTCAAACGATCC